TGTCCAAAAATTAAACATTTTTTTGTTAGAAAAAAAGGTGAACTCACTGTATCACAATCTGCAGTGCGCTCGAGCTTTTCCTGATTAAAAGAAAGATAAAGGGGCCTTCATGGTTACAGGTTTCAAAGTTTTCTACAAGTCAAAGGGTAATATTTTTAAGTTGGGTATCAAGTAGAAGTAATATGACATTGTCTTTATTTCATATACAGGCCTCCTTGTTTTAATCCTATCAACTTGTTTGCGTTTACAGGTTAGCTGGTGCAAATTTGAAGTGACCGTTGACTCTCCTAAAGACATAAAGAGTTCAGCTCCTTCAAAAATCACTTCTAAGATTCCTCCTGTGGTTGTTGCAGCGATGAGCTTGAAAACAATCATAAATGAAAAACAGAACACAAATGAGATTGTATCGGCATCCATTATATGTTGCAATATGGTTAAGGTTGTTTATTGTCCTTTTTTTTTATGTATAGTTTGTTAGCTTATCTTTTTGGAATGATCTCAAGAGCATTAACATGTGTTTGCGTATATGTCTAAATATAAGAATATCTGTGTAATGGAAATCTATTTTTCAGGAAGGATTAATTTACTGTCAATATGCTTGTGAAGTTTGAACATAGTTGACAGTTTTCACTGATTTGCAATTTCTATGTATTAGCTATTCATATACACAACATACATTCAAGATTGTGTGATTTGGTATATTTTGAATGGAAATAATGCATTCTTGGTGAATGACTTACCAAACTAGTGCTTACTAACAGTTCTCACTTCTCATAAATAAATTTATTTGCTGAAAGTACTTAATCTTTTTTCCCTAAATTTCCGTGGTTATAGAATATTGATTCACATATGGCTTAATTCTTGTGTTCTCTTAACATGAACTTATACGGATACAAAACTTGAAGTTTCAAGAATGTATTGTCAGTTTCATCTATTTAAATGTTCAGGAAGACATAATATTTTTTTTGTAAGGTAATACTCGATAAACCATAAAAGTATACAGTCTGTTTCTTTTGAACCTTTGGCAACTTTTTGGAACTTCTGTACTTAATCTGTAATATTTAGAGCTCATGCAATTGGACAGTTGGTCTTGACTATTTTTTTTGGATAAATCATCTTAGCTGATACGGTGGCCATTAGGTGGAATTTTTTGTTTTCTATAAATCTTTAAATGAATTGATGCTTGTATTTAACACTTGTTTAGATTGTGTGAATATGTATCCATATGTGCCCTCATTGGCAATTTGAATACTTAATATCAAATTTTAAGATGTTTGTTACAATTCTAGATGAAGTTTAGTTTGAAGTATGATTAATAGTAACCTTTCCTGTTTGACTTTTTAGATTGACACTCCTATGTTGGCTTCAGAGTGGAAGAGGCCTGGAAGGCTGACCCATTTTACTGTTATTCGTAAACTTGATGGGAATATATTTCCGATGGGATTCAATAAGGAGGTTACGGACAAAAACTTAAAAGCTGGTTCAAATGTTCTGTGTGCTGAAAGCAGGTGAGACATTGAAAGATGGTTTGCTAGTTCTAGTGTTTTGCTTATCTGCATGACTGCATGTTATTCTTTGAGTTTAAATATGATGTCTAAATTTTTTAAAACTTTTCTTGGAAATTATGATTGCTTCTTGGCTTGACCTATGTATTACTTTTGTTTTCAGTGAAAGAGCATTGTTAAATCGCTTGATGTTAGAATTACACAAGTTGGATAGTGATGTTCTTGTTGGACATAATATTTCTGGATTTGACCTGGATGTTCTTCTCCACAGATGCCAGGTGGGAGTTTTGACCTTTTCTCAAACAATTTCTTGTCAATGATTTGAACATTTCAAGCTGAAAAGGAATTAATTGAATTTTGTACTTGAGTTTCCTTATGATTCTTCCTTGTTCAACGGATGATATCTGGATGCGAAGTAATTGGTTTAGGTGGGTTTGAGCAATTACATCAGTCAGGTAGAAATTCATTCTCATGGCAGTAAAATGGCATGAGGACTCATGAAGATCAAAATTAATTTGTCAGAATTGATTATGAATGTTATATTAGGAAGATTGTTAGTTGGTAATAAAGCTTCAGACAAAATTAAATGGAATATTAGAATTCATTTGGAGGTCTGTAAACAAAAAAAGAAAGAAACCATGTAGCTATTTCACAATTTTCAATCCATGGTTATTTTTATCTTTTTATTTTATTTTATTTTATTTTATTTTATTTTATTTTATTTTATTGTTTGTGGTTGGTGTGTAACTGTTATGGACACAGTTTCCCCGTCATTCTTTGTGAAACTCATTAATGCATCAGTTCATGTTTCCTGAATAAGTATTAAGAAAACTATATGTTTAGCCAGTTGTTCTTCAATTTACTGTTTGAACTTTTTTTAAGCTAAAAGCTTTATCCCAAATTTCCAAGTACAGTTTTCTTGTTTTCATCATTTGTGCATGGAAATGGCTGTCATTGTTCCTATGCTTTTCTAAGCAAAAATGTGCTGCATTTCATCTGACTTGCATTTTACACACTGAATGTTCCACCTAAAAGCACCCTAAAATAATTAAGATGCAGGCTCTCAAAGTAGGAAGCAACACGTGGTCTAGACTAGGCCGCCTCAACCGTTCTAAAATGCCTAAACTTGGAAGAAGAGGCAAGACTTTTGGTGCTGGAGCAGATCCTGGTATCATGTCTTGCCTTGCTGGTCGGCTTCTTTGTGATACCTACTTGTGTTCCCGGGACCTATTAAAGGAGGTACAATAATTGGTCAGAACTCCTGCCTAGCTGGAATTCTGGTTTTTATTTCTTAGTAACCATTAACCATTTGGTTCTTCCAGGTTAGTTATTCTTTAACTCACCTTGCAAAATCACATCTGAACAAGTTTCGGAAGGAAGTTGCTCCACATGAAGTTCCAAAAATGTTCCAAGCAGCAGAATCCCTAATGGAACTTGTAGGTCCCTGTGTACTCAAACAGCTTTCTATGTTATTTTAATCCTTATTGTTGACAACTATTTGAAGTGCTCGTTGTGCAATGTTATCCATGGATCATATTTTTCATTGTTAAACACTTCATTGTTATGGGAAATTTTTGTTTCAATTCTGATTCAATGCATCAATATTTTGGACTGACGCTCTTGTTTGGGCAAATGGGAATTCATTCACATTCTGCAAGAGTTTGCACTCATAAATATTGAACTATGACGTTTGTCATGGTTATTGATATTAGCAATTTATTTTCCCATACTTGATATTTTTGAACTTGATAGTGCTTCTGGGCTGAGTTGTTGAAACTTGAATGCAATAGACGTGTATTAGTTTGTTGTATGAAATATTTCACAACCATATTGAATTTTACAGAATTTAGGGACTTTATAGTCTTAGTTGATAAGTTATTGGATCTGATCAACTTTTTTTGATATGGTCTGGCAAAATACGTGTGGGTCGAAGAATTTACTTTTTCCATGTGGAATATTTGATTGATGGAACATTTAATTTGTTTTTTTTTTTTTTTTTTTGCTTCTATGCTAACTATCATAGTGTTCTTGACTTGTTCAGATTGAATACGGTGAAACAGATGCGTGGTTGTCTATGGAACTCATGTTTTATTTAAGTATTCTTCCGCTCACACGTCAGCTAACTAATATAAGTGGTAATCTTTGGGGAAAAACTCTTCAGGTGAGCCCCGTAGCATTTGCTTGCTAGCTTGATTTAATATTGGACATGACCTAACAGGTAGAGGCCCATAACTAATGTTTTTCAATTTATTATTTTAGGGTGGTCGAGCACAGAGAGTGGAGTATCTTTTGCTGCATACTTTTCATTCAATGAAATATATGGTGCCAGACAAGTTCTCAAACCATGCAAAAGAAACAAAATTGACGAAACGCAAAGTCACTAATGATGTTGAGGATAGCAACTTTGATGTAGATATTGACGATGCAAACTATGACAATGATGCTTCTGAAGCTGATCATAAGAAAAGCAAAAAGGGTCCTTCTTATGCCGGGGGATTGGTTTTGGAGCCAAAGAAGGGTCTATATGACAAATATATATTGCTTCTGGACTTCAACAGTCTTTATCCTTCTATTATTCAGGTTGATATCACTGTCTTTCAAAATATGCTTGGTTTTAGTCACTTTCATTCTACCTTTTGGCATTATCTGTTGTATTTGCTTGTTTACTTTTCCTCTGGTAGTAATTTGTGGCAATTTCTACTATTTGCAACTTACTGAACTGAATTACAGGAATACAATATTTGCTTCACAACTGTTGAAAGATCTTCGGACGAATCTTTTCCTCGTCTACCATCTAGTAAAACAACTGGAGTCTTGCCAGAGGTAAGTATTGTGGAACTTGTCGAATCATTTGGAGCTTGAAGTTTTATATTAGTTTATTGTTTCCAAATTTTGCATGCTTGAGATATGCCAAATGATATCTCTAATTTATTTGCATTGCAACTTTGACTAGTTAGTTTATATATTCTCACCAGTTCTGATGCGAGGCTCTGGCTTCCATTTTTGTTGCATATGGGTCGGGTGTTGTAAGATTTATAGATTTTTTTGCCATGTAAACTACTTATATAACTAGAATTTCTAGAGTTGTCTCCTTCTTGCTTGTTCCATCTTGGCTGCTGTTCTTATATCTGTGACCAGCTGTAGCATTGGAAAATGAGGATTAACAGAGTTTTCAGAGTTTGAAAAACTTCAAAATTAGTAAAGGATTCCTAATCGAGTTGCCATGGCTGTTTCAATGAAAGGTGATGAAGGTGGTGACAGATTTGACTAGATAAAGAAAATCTTCCATGAATGGGAAATATGAGATAGCAATCTTTTTCTCTAACTAATTTCAAGCATCACATTGGATATTTTTTCCGCATCCGAAGAGGATTTGATCACCTAGGATATGATATATGCCATTCCCAGACGGGGAATACAAAAACGTATAAGAAAATCACTGCAAGTAACGTGAAACACTATAAGTAAGGGGAAGCCATGACAGACCTGGTTGGAGTTGAGAGAAAAAAATGGTCTTAAGATTTTTACGTATAAAGCACATTAATTAATATTAGTTTCAAAACAGAGCGTTTTATGACAAGTCATTTTAAATCTCTCAATAAAATATATAATCTCACTGTAGCTGTGCAAAATTGACTGGCAGTCTGGCACAATCAAGGTCCTAAATTACTTGCATGGTTCACGTCAGTAAAGTGGCTTATCCGTATTTTCATGCGGTTTATCAATGCATTAAAAATTTGATATAACTTTATTACCTGTCAAGGCGATTTTCGTTTTCCCTCCAATAGACTAAGGAGATGCGTGTACAATTGTGTTTGTTGTGCTAGGTGCTGAAAAATTTGGTCGAGCGGAGGAAGAAGGTAAAGTCGTGGATAAAGAATGAAAAAAAGAAGAATGAAAAAGCTGATCCTATTAGAGTTCAGCAACTGGATATTCAACAGCAAGCACTGAAACTTACTGCAAACAGGTTTTTTTTTTTTTAATAAATATTTTCCAGTGAATTATGAGTGCCCAAAATTGGTATGTCATTCTTCCTTCTGTATGTATAATGCTATGGCATATGATGCAGTATGTATGGGTGCCTGGGATTTTCCAATTCAAGATTCTATGCTAAGCCGTTAGCCGAGCTCATAACACTACAAGTAAGAAGAATATGCTGGCTTATTCAGCATAGTGACTACCATAATCTCAAATATATTTTGAAACGCTTACATTTTCAATTGCGTGTCTAATGGTCGTATAGGGAAGGGAGATACTACAGAGTACTGTTGATCTTGTTCAGAATAACTTGAATTTAGAGGTTATTTCTAGTACTCAGCATCTTTAATAAGTATTATAGTTTAGTATATGAATTATTTGATGTAACTGGTTGTGAATATCAACTCTTAATTGGTGTGCTGTCTTTTACTTTATAGGTTATCTATGGCGATACTGATTCAATAATGATTTACAGCGGGCTAGATGATATTGAGGAAGCAAATAAAATTGCTGCAAGAGTTATTCAAGAGGTAAGATCTGACTATTAGCTGTGCAAACCTCTTTTGAGCCTATATATGAACGCTTGGTGGTTGAGATCAGTGCTATCTATGACACAAATGGCAGAAGGGCAAAATTTTGCCATATAAACATGTGGGCCTCCCTTCACAAATTGTTGTTGGGATGCAAACAAGTCTCACATCGATAAAATAAGAAAAAAAATAAAAACTTATAAAACACACATATACTCCAATGTGAGAGAGACCTTTTGGGTGATGATCAAAAGCAAAATCATGAGGGCTTAGGCTCAAAGCGGATAATATCTTATCATTGTGGAGTTGTGTGTAATAATCTTATAAAAATACTATAAAATAACCTCATCAGTGGGATCAGAGTTGCAAGGTTAGATGTGGTAACAACCTTCATAACCCTCATAACTCATAACATATAATGTGATATATAAAGACAGATAGATTCAACTGCATGAAAGGTTAGGTCCTTTGTTTGAGAGAAAGATTGTTGAGATATAAACAAGTCTCACATCGATAAAATAAGAAAAAAAATAACAACTTATAAAGCACACACATACTCTAATGTGAGAGAAACCTTTTGGGTGATGATCAAAAGCAAAACCGCGAGAATTTAGGCCCAAAGTGGACAATATTTCATCATTGTGGAGTTGTGTGTAATAATTTTATAAAAATAACTCTCATAAAATATCTCCTTAGACAAATACCATAAAATAACCCTATTAGTTGCCTATGATGATTGGCAGAAAATCTGCCACGCCATTCCACCGAGTGGTGATGGTGCTGTTATTTAACAACATTGGCTGAGATTCACATTGCCTTTCCTCTGCTCTTTTCTTGTGTTAGTGCTAGAACGAGAGCTTTTCAGGCTTGTTACCTCCCGTATAAATTATTAAATATATTTAATGATTCTTAAACTCAATTTAAAAGATCATTTTAAGTTATAGTGCGTGTTTGCTTTAGCTTTTGGACGTGAAAATTCACGTTTATGGGAAGCAAAAAAATTGTAACTTCCACGTAAATTGCCTTGTAAACGTGAAGAGAGAATGAAAAATTACGTTTCTAAATCTAAACCAAACACGCTAATATTTGTACTTACTGGTTTGTCACTAGTTACATGACTGATTTAAAGCTGGATACTGATGCGAAATGATGTCTTACTTTGTTGGTTTGCACTGTTCATAAATACAGATAATTTTGGCATGTGTGCATGATTCAAGAATAAATAGTGGTTTTCCTTTCCTATTTTCATCTAATTTTCTTGTGATCTGTAATTTCTGCTTTAATTTGTCAAGGTCAACAAGAAATATAAATGCTTGGAAATTGATCTTGATGGTTTATACAAAAGGATGTTGCTTCTTAAGAAAAAGAAGTATGCAGCTGTAAAGTTGATGTTTAGAGATCGCACCCCATACGAGGTATGTTCATCATTTCTTATTTTTTTGCTTAACCTAACATCTTGGGAAGATCATGCAATGTGGTTAACGTATGGAGCAGGTTATTGAACGTAAAGGTCTTGACATTGTTCGTCGTGACTGGAGTTTGTTAGCTAAAGAATTAGGAGATTTTTGCTTGACTCAAATTTTGTCGGGAGGGTATGTTACTTTCCTTTTCTCAATTTTTAGATGCAGAATTACTCATTTTTCTGGTAACTATTAATATTCTGGTTCCCATGCTCACAGGTCATGTGAAGATGTCGTGGAGTCAATCCACAACTCTCTCACGAAGGTAAATTGTCATATCTTGCGGTATCATATATTTGTTTATAATAACATACCATGTAATTCGAGAATTTAAAAGATGCTTCCTGGAGCTTTGGGCTCAACATTTTGCCGAATATAGTAGGGTGGTCTAAAACCCAGTGTATATTCACATTTGATTAGACTAGCCGATGATGTGGAGTGCTTTTTTATTATTATTATTTTAATGATTTAATTATCGATCATTGTTGAAGGTATTGTTGTTTATATTGGGGATCTTGTTCATGTAAATTTTGCCGTATTTTTTAACTAATGATTCTTAAGCTGGCATTTGAGGTTTATTTCTCCTGCAAACTAATGTATGTTATTGTTAATACAGGTACAAGAAGAAATGAGGAACGGACAAGTACCATTAGAGAAATATGTTATTACAAAGACATTGACCAAACCTCCTGAAGCTTACCCCGATGCCAAGAACCAGCCACATGTTCTTGTTAGTCCAAGTTATTTTCGTTTGTTACTTGAAATTGTCCGATCTAGTTTTCTTTTTCTATGATCAACTTGATTCTGAGGATGCTTTTCTTGATCAACATATAGGTGGCACAAAGATTGAGGCAACTAGGTTACTCTTCTGGCTGCTCTGTTGGTGATACAATCCCTTATATAATTTGCTATGAGCAGGTTTGTCATTTAGTCACTTGCTTCCAATCAAAGGCCAAATAGTGTAACCTGTAGAAATTCTTTTTGCATAGAATATTTGATGTAGGTTATGCTGTCTCACTTAACATTTTTAACATTATGTTCTTCTTTGATTAGGGTGGTGCTTCAGGCAGTGCAGCTGGCATTGCACAACGTGCCCGACATCCTGATGAACTTAAACAAGAACAAGGGACTTGGTTGATTGACATTGATTACTATTTATCACAACAGGTGTCTTAGACTTTAGTAGCTAATTATATATATAACAATGGTTAACAAATACTGTACCGTGATTGAGTATTTTCTTTTTTCTCTTGTAGATCCATCCTGTGGTATCCCGTCTTTGTGCATCAATTCAGGGCACAAGCCCAGAAAGACTGGCTAATTGTTTAGGGCTTGACTCGTCAAAGGTAAAACATATTTCCTTGTTTGTCTCAGCATTACTGGCAGGTAATTTACTCTTTTGTTTTTTTTTTGTATCAATTCTTCTAAATCTGCAAACTATATTGTTTTACAGTATCATCATAAATCAAGTGAAGCTTTAAATGATGATTCTATAAACTCACTTTTGTTGGTTGCTGATGATGAGGAAAGGTACATCATGGTTTTAAAATTTGTACCATTAGTTGTCCAAATCTCTTAAATGCAAATATTTACTGTGAATATGGAGTCGGCTAGAACATATTTTGTTTCAAAGTTCAATTGTAAAATTCAGTATTCTGTGCAGACATTTTAATAATTTATATATAATTCTTTTTACAGTTTTTTCAACTTTATCTATGTTTTGTTATGATTCATCAATTCTACCGATGGATTTCCTAACCATAACTATTAATTAATGGATTGGATGTGATAAAATAATCGCAGGTATCGAAGATGTGAGCCGTTGATCTTGACATGCCCCAGCTGCTTTGGTACATTTGACTGTCCACCCGTCTTTAAATCTATTTGTTGTTTGTTGGGAAGTGAAAAACCAGCTGGTGTAATTTCGGAGGAATCTGACTACAATTTCTGGCGTAAGCTGTGCTGTCCTAAATGCCCAGAAGATGTTAAAATTTCTCCTGCAATGATATCTAATCAGGTTTGACTAATTTAAGATTTAAGGCCTCAAAAAAATTGTGTTATTCAACTGTTTCATCTAAGAAAGGTTTTACACCAATTTCAGATCCCCGGATGTAATATGTAGCAACACTTATTAACATGTTTGTTGATTTGATTAGCATTGAATATTGTTCTTGAGAGCATACTTACAGTTCATTATACTTCAATGTCAGGTCAAAAGGCAAGCAGAGAGGTTTGTTTTAATGTACTATAGAGGTTTACTAATGGTAAGTCACCTCTCTAAATATATAATGAATATTAATAGACTGAAAATTGGGTGTCACAATCATCATCATCAGCTGATTATTGCATCCAGTGTGACGATGAAACGTGCAAGCATACGACGCGAAGTATCAGCCTTCGGTTGGTTGGTGATTCTGAGAGAGGAACTGTATGTCCAAATTATCCTCGCTGCAACGGGCGATTACTGAGACAGGTTTCACTCCATGATCTCTTTGAACATTAACGGTTTCTTTTATGCAAGGTTTATAATTGTGAAGTTAAATATTTATTTGATTTTTCAGTACACGGAAGCAGACTTGTACAGGCAGCTTTCATATTTTTGCCATGTGTTCGATACTGTTTCTTGCATAGAAAAGGTAGGTACTCACTAGGCCAAGTGTTTATGCGATTCTACTTCATGTCTTACTTTTCAATGCATTTTCAATGTGAATCCATGTTTCTATGGTCATTCACGTTCAACTGAAGTGATTGGGTGTTTAAACACACCCTAAACGATGCAAGGACAAGTTTAATGAGGATAGTTTGTTGAAAGTTGAAGCAAAGCAATCGGATTTTAAAGTTAATTTGTTAAATATCATATTTGAGTTAAATAAATGAACAGTGATTACATAACTTAATCATTATTGTTTATATGAGAGATGTCTGATAATATTTTTTTATTGTCTTAGATTATTTGAGAGTATCCTAAATAATATTTAAGGAATATTTTTATTCATTTTATAATTTTCCCTTGTGTAATTATGATTATTGTAATTATAAGCCTATTTTATCATGTAAATAGGAATATCATTTCCAACCTTTATTGCATAATGTCTACTTAAAATCGATTCCGTTGTATAGTGAGGATACAGTTTAAGCATCTCTTGAATCTGTTTTAACAATTATTAATCTTTTTCTTTTTTTTTTTGGTGCGTGACTATGTCAGATGGAGACAAAATCCAGAATACCAATAGAGAAGGAGTTGATAAAAATTAGGCCGATGATTGATATGGCAGCATCAACAGCACAGAAGATCAGGGACCGTTGTGCCTTTGGGTGGGTGAGGCTGCAAGATCTGGTCATTGCAGTTTAATTTGTATTTTTGGTGCCAAATTCGGTTTGTGTAGTGTAAACCAGACATTGTCATTGATGTGTCAATGCGGGCTAAAAGGATGTAATCGTTAAGAAAAAGTTTTGGTCAAAGTTCGAAGGATCAATAAGCCTACTGGATCAGTATCTGTTTGAATTGAGGAAGTTTGTTGATCAAATCATGAGCATGAAGGTGTATTTCATTTGTTTTATAAGAAACGTGGGAGAATGAATGATCGGAAAGCAAGAAAGTGTATTTCAATTGTCTATCTGTGTATGTTTGATACGCTATTTTATTTATTTATTTATTTTTTTGTAATTTTAGGTTCCTGAACCGGAAAAATAAATCAACATATGAAGATGTAAATTTTTCGAGAAAAGATAAAATTCCTAGAGATTGGAAGTCTTTGTTTTTTGTTTTTTTTTTCTCTTATAAAAATATATAAATATATAAATTTATGCAAAACAAAATAAAAAACAAAAAGGGTTAATTTGGTTTATACCAAAATAATTTGTGATTTATAAAATAAAAAACTAACAAATTTTATAGTTTAAAAAACTATTTTTAAAACAATAAAAAAATCATGAACCTACGGGCTCTTAAACTATAATTATGTCTATTCTTGGTTCGATACAAATAGGACTTTATTAAAATTTAAAGAATTTAAATAGCAAATACAGGAAATACACTAGTTTCCATTTCCATACATATATATCAGAGAGATTGGATGTATGTATATGCTGAGTTAATCACAGGAAAGAAACTTGTATCAAAATTTCTTTGGCCTTGATCAAATATTTAGTGTACTTGTTACCGCAGCTCCCCAACAGGTGCTTCATTGAGCCACAAGAAATGAATGAACTCATATAATTTTCCACTTACACTAACCTGCTCAATGTTTTAAGTTAACGCATTAAAACTACTTCAAAATCAAAATTATAAAAATAATTAATTCAAAGCATGAGACCTTATACGGAGTTGGATTGAGTCTCCTCATGTGGTCAGATCGCATTTGCTCAAGTTGCTTGATGCATCGCTCTCTTATATCTTTCAAAGGAGGCAGAGTCCCTTCCTTTTTATCTTCAGGAAATAATAAAAAACAGATATTACTATACAAAAATCAAATTTGACTGTCGAAAGCTGCATGTGCAACTGTGACTCAGATTTTAGAAACCGTATCATTTATGGATGAGATGAGATATTTGCTTATTTAGTTTTAAGTAGCATGTTCAAGGTTATAATAGAATTAAGTAGATCAATAATATGTCATGGGATGCCTCCAAAATTTGTTAAAGCAGTTTCCCTTTCCCTAAGTAAACAAATATAGTTTAAGTATGTATAAACACAAGGTTCTATTTGTCTCCATGCCTGTCAATTTTATTTTAGTTCTTACCTGAGTTCCCAGCGCAGTAACACCTTAGAAGCTCCTCAACTTTCTGGGGCACCACATATGCTCTCTTAGATTCTTGAAAGGGATGGCGGCACAAGATTCTTTCTCCCTCCTATCATAAAATAATGTTAAAAAATATTTATGCCTACATTTGCAAATTCCACTGGACTGACTCCAAGAAATTGGAAAGTATGGATTTTTTTTTATTTTTTTATTTTTTATTTATACGAAAAATTATTAAGTAGTTTCGGGACTACTATTTGTATGTGATTTCGATAGTTTCAATGTCACATAATTAAGTTTAATTAATTTTTTCTCTTAAATCTAAAATTTTGTTTACATGTTACGTGGAGATTAACAAAAAATAGAGCCAAAATAATCCTAAACTATACAATAATTTTAAGTTTAGAGAGGGTTAAGAACACCAAGTCAAGAAATACCTTTGGAGGGGGTTCATTTTCCCCGGTCATTATGTCTACCAAAGCATAGCCTTCTTTCCCATACAATCTATATATTCGCTTCTTACATGGAATAGTGACCTAAGAACAGAGAAAGTAGCAAAAGAATAATAAGATTATTAATTAAAAATTATTCCACTTTATATGTTGATGTCTAGTGTTCACACCTTTGAGAATGATTCAGAAAGTTTGATACGAGGTTTATTATTTATCTCAACCAGCTTGAAAACAACACCTAAAGCAGCTTGAGCATAACAAGTAACCAGGTATGTCCCAATTCCATAGGCATCAATCTCGTGGCCCTGCAGAGCAAAATGCAATCCAGTAAAAAACAGTAGGATATATATAAAAACTATTGAATATATATGCTAGGCCATTTTAGCACAACCGTGTTTCAACCTAAACCTTTCTATATTATCAATGTCTTCATTTGGCCATTAGCTTTTATATTTTTATCAGTCACTAGTGATAGACTTACATTTTGAATTCCTTGTCCAAAAAGCTACAATTTCCAGTTAGCAAAGAGAATTGACCTGTTTGTTTAAAGCATCTAATGTTTCTTCATTAAGGTCATTACTAGCTGTGATGATCATCTTCCCGAAACCGGGCAATTCAAACTCTTTCTCAATGGAGCAAAACAACTTCCTGACCTCACAAGACAAATATGCAAGGTCACCAGAATCCAGTCTAATGCCAATTGCTTTATATCTGCTCAGGACATCATCTAAACTCAGCAATGAATAATAACAATTATATGATTCTTTCAAAAAGAATAAATTGATAATGATAAACATTGACTCACCCTAAGTCACTGAGAGCTAATGCAACTGCACAAAAGTTAGGGATTCCACTTCTCATGACCTGTTAACATGCAAATGTGAGTAAAAATAGCTAAACTAAACCAGAGCTAGTTCAACAAAGACATAAATGGTGCGAAGATTATGCATGTCTATAACAGGAAATATAGTTCTCAAGAAAATATTATACACTTACATCATAAGTGTCTACTAGGGCAAGGAAGTTATCAGGAAATGCTAATGCATACGATATGAGTGCTGCCAGCTCACTTTTATTGGTCTCAGCAAAATTGCCACGTAGTGAATTCGACTTCTGCATTGAGACACCTCAATACAGATTATATTGTTGCAGAAGTGCAATAATATAAATATATGCTATAACAATGGTCATATGGAGAAATGAAAAAAGAAACATCTCTCATGATGACACCGAACTAATCCCCCTTCCTCAAAAGAATTTAGCTAAAAACCACAAATGAAAAAAATTATATATATTAAGGATGTAAAGGCCTTTGAATCATGACACCTCAATTTTTTTCAGCCAGCTTTGAACTAAACTAACAAAATCTTTACATGTACTTGAACCATCTTTTCTACGAAGCGATTTGTCTTTAATTTCGTCAACGTTCTGCATATCACAGGACAGACAAGGTATGCATATCAGAAAATGAATCAAGTCATAACAAAGCATAACAATACTGATAACTGAAATCATATAAGTATACGAAAGGTAAAAAAAAAATAAAAATTACAAGAGGGTCTGCCTCATCATTTGAAGGTTTCCTTTGTTCTAAGATTTTATGATATCACTCTCTCTCTAAGCTTACGTGTTACCTCCCAATTCTATTACTGCATTTTTGACCCTATAACAAATTTGCTTTTGCAAGCTGTAAATTTCGCCAATTTCGGCATTACAATGTCCAAAGAGGTTCATAAATGTCTGAACTAATTGCACTGCACTTAGTTTTTCCTTTCAGGAATTGCAGTATAAAGACAAATATAAAAAGGACAACATCCCTATTTATTTAATAGGTATACCTATATAAATATTCATTGAAATGGTCACGTACCATATATGAGCTAACGAATGCATGGGAATGAGTACCACGTAGGGGAATCCCGAATAACATCCCTGCTGCAACATTGCTATCGGCGTGCCATATCAAAAATCATTATACAATAACAAACGTAAGATACAGATAATTCACTAAACCTAAACAAAATGGTAAAAAAGGAATGTCATCTAAACTTGACAATCATGTTATGATAGAAATATGATATAATAATCACGAAAAGTTGACAATGAATGTTTGAATCTTATCCTTCATCCCAGTTTTCATTTTCCTCCCACTTCTTTCATTACTATTTTGAAACCAGATTTTAGTTATTTCATGCAATATGATGCATTAATGCATATGGCTTAAAAATAGGACGTGATAGGAGATATTAACTGTTTCAAAGGATTTTAGTTCTATCCTGTCATACAGCAAATTGTATATCTGTGATCATGGTTTTACCATAACTTTTTGAACTACTATCAGAAAAGTCTAGGCTTCTGGAGGCACTTTTCCCTTTGTCAATCACTATGTTCAAAATTATAAGGTAAACATTGACATGATCCAAAAGCAGAGTTTATATGCTATGCTACCAAAATGTGCCTTACGATCTTAAATTACCAGTAATAAAGTATCTTTTAGATAAATAGTCAAAACTAATGCTAACACTTTGTTTGTACTGTATTGGGATTGTAAAAATCATAGTCACAAAAAAATCTCAGTCATGATAACTGCTAGAAATATACATAATATAATGAACATTTCCTCCATATTATAGTACTGAACATGCTAGACTTGTGAAGTTGTTTGATATATAGTACCTTGTTGCATCAAATCCCCCAATATAACTGTACTTCGATGCACCTACTGCACCATCAGGCCCCTACATTCAAAATAACATTCTTTTGATGAACCACTGAGAAAAGAAAGTATTCCTAAATCTTCTAGATCAAATAATATTTTCCCAGTAAGAGTGAGAAACCTGAGCCCTTCGTAGTCCAAACTCAAGTAGAGTTTTTGATTTTCCAGCAACAAAACGATGCCTTGCAGCATTAGTAGAAACTAATGACGCAAAATTAATAAGATTGACAAAAGGTGTTTCCAGCAATTGAACAACCTGAACAGTAGAAAAGTCAATTTAATGCAAGAAGTATATAGTCATTGGAAGAAACGAGAATTCAAAAGCGATATAAACTGAAAGAAGTACTCACAGCAACTGGACCTTCAACTCTCAATAGGGGTACCTTAGGGAAAACAACTGATCCTTCGGGAATAGCATACACCTCAACATCAGAACAGTCAATTCCTCTAAGATAGTCAAGGAAGGCATCCTATGATTTAATCAATCAATACCAAAGTCCAAATTTATTTTAAAGGGAGAAAATCTACTAGAAAAAAGCATGTAAACTAGATCGTGCATGAAACTTTTTCTCCGAGCAATTTATAAAAGAAAGAGGTAATCTATCCGGTACTATTTGTTTTTTTAATTTGCTATGATTAACTGCTACACCCTATCTTTACATCCAATTATTGAAGAAATTTGGGAATAAAACGAGCAACAAGAGTGTGACAGGGCATGATGAAAATGAGAAGACGGTTTACCTCACAAGAAACGGACAAATTTTTCTTGATAAAATCAACTTCTTGATTGGAGAGCTTATAATTAGCAACGAACCTCACGCATTCTTCCAAACCAGCGAAGACAGTGTACTCCCCTCCAAAGGGGTTCTTCCGAAAATACAAATCAAACCTGAAACAAAATTACACTCACGATAACCGAATCATATCATAAACAAACACACGTATCAAATTGCACCCATCCAAGTTCCAACGAAAAGAAAAACCCTCATGTACGCATGCATGCATGCATGCATGCATGCATGAGGATTGAATGAATTACTTACACAGCACGCTCTTGATGCTTGCCAGCTTTCCAATAGGCATAAGCCATTGTGAATTGATATAGATCCGTCAGCAATGGCGTCACCATTGGGTTGGTGGGTCCAGGTATGCTCCCAGCCCTATTTTTCTTCTTCGACTCTTTCTCTTCCATTCTTATCCTTCTCTTCTTCTACAAACTAACCTTTTCTTATATATATAAGAAACAAAACTTTGAAGTGTGAAGCGTGAGTGAAGAGCCTTTGAACGTGATCTGATTGGTTCCTACGACTTTCTATTACATGTAAAACGTGAATGTTTTGTGTGTTGGAGAGGAATGGTTATAACTAGAAAACATCACGTCTGAAGGGTTACGTTTCCATGTAATGATTTTTGTTTATTCTCTGTGGACCGTAATTAACATTTTCCGCACACGTGGCAGCTTCTCAACGTTCGCATTAGCCGTTCATGTCTCGTCTAATTTTGGCTATCATTATTTGATTACACCAAATTCATGCAAACTTTGCATCTTAGCGACATTATGTGCAACAACAAGTTTTTGCATTCCTCGTCGTTTTGTTAATTTTTGTTAGTGGTCGTTTTTATGCCAAGCCCCCGAACACGATATCAATTTCATTATCATTTACTTGGTGTCAAAATGTGGCTAAAGATTTTTTAAAATTAAAAATGGATAACTAATAGAGTAATTTCGTTATCTAGCTTTGTTACAGGGGAGATAGTGGGCTTGAATAGGAATACGATCCAAAGCATATACACTTCATTCAATGCTTTTTATTATTATTATTATTATTATTATTATTTTATATAATATTTCTGTATTTATAAATTAGAATAACTGTCCTCAAAAAAGAAAAAAAAAGAAAAACTAATAGTTATCTACCTTACTCTGCTCTCTCATATTTTTTGTGTTTAAATTCTTTTCTACCATAAACTAAATACTAACAAAGTTTGGTAAAATTGGTAGATATATAGGTGATCGAGTTGTTTAACCATTAGACAAGAATTTGATTCTATGTTGATTCCTATGTTAGAGGAACTCCTCGGTTCAAGCTAGTTTTTTTTTAACATATAATGACATATTGACGTATATTAGGATACAATGTTACTTTTATCATATAGTGATACTTTTTAAATATTAAAATTCAACTTAAAAACAAAAATGAAAAAGTGTATAAAAGGTTAGAGATTAAAAAATATTAAAAACACTTTGAGAATATCTCCTAAAATTACATCTTACAAATACAAATTAGCCCTTCACTCAGTTTTGAGATATTGGACCATGTTGATGGAAAAAAAAAAAAAAAATCCCCTCAGATTGATTTACTCTCTCCCTGCACAACAATTGGGTCTCTGAAATTCTTTTATTATTTGGTTTAATTATTTTGAAAACTTAAATTTAATATCAAAATTAAGCTGATCTGAAAAACTGATTTTCCAGTAACTTTTTCTTTTGACTTGGTCTTTTATAAGAAAAAAAAAAAGTGGATTAATAGAGCTACTCAAATGGTTTATTATCTTAGCCTGAAAATTGACATTTACATTATTATCCCGAAAAGTAACGTTTACATTATTATTCAGAACAGTAAGGTGTTATTATCTGTTTCTATTTATAACCTTTAATTTTCCAGAAAAATCGTTCTATCTAAACTAATTTTTTTTCTAGTGGTTCTTTGACTCTTGTCTGAATTATGATAATCTGGATACTTATAATGAAAAGCTTGTCATTTACCACTAGGATACTTCCAAGGTTTTTTTTCTAATCGTTCTTTTACTCTTCTTATTAGCGTAACATTTGCCGTCATTTATATATATATATATATATATATATGTATATGCGTGTGTGTAACTGTGTATGTATATATATGAATATATTAATTGTATCATTTATACTAAATATTAATTTGTTCAATAACTTAATATTAAAAGTAAATTTTGAAATGTATATATTATATCAATTTTTGATTTATATTAATGATATATTAAATAATTTTAAATTAATATAAAGTTTGGCATATAAAATTAAGGAACTTTCTATCTAATGGTAAATTTTAAAAAATAATTATTAAATTAAAAATTGTTATACAGAGTAATAATTGATAAAAATTTTATTAATTTCATTTAATTTCTCTTATATATACTAGAAGAGTTCGTGCCTCTAATAATTATTCATTAATAAAATATTAGAAAGTTGTGTATAATTATTTAAAAAAATTTAAAATTTTCTTTTACATGTGGGTATAATGGTCCATTAAAAAATAGAGATCAAAAAATGGTTACATCTCCTATATCCCATTTATAATAGTTATATATATATATATATATATATATATATATATATAAAAATTAAAAAATCCTTTAGGACAATATAACTATCACACGTTTCATGTTATGATCATCATCCAAACTCAACTCTTTGGTATCTTTCTCTAGTAGTTGAATAAAAATGGTAGTGTGCCAAAGAGAGAACGGTTGGGAGGAGTGACAACGTGCCAAAGAGGAAATATGATAAGGAAAATTTTGACTTTCCGAACTCCACACTTATTTTGTTTTGTCTCGATCAATTTTTAAAATATAATTTTGTTTTGCCCCTTAGATTTTTAACAAATAAAACGGACCCACAGGGTTTCAACATGTAACATTTACCTTTTGTTTTAGTTTCTTCTCTATTTTCTTAATATTTTTTTTTGAGTAAAGATGAGAAATCATTCGAATCAAAAAGATAAAGTGTAACTTAAAAGATTAGACAAGAGTAGAACACTTCTAGAGAATAAGTCAAAGGATATGCTTGACTGCACATCAAACAATTCAAGAATAATTTTCATTGCATCCAAAATGATCATAATTATGTTTATAGTATGTTTAGCTATTAATAAAATTAATTTCAAAATATGAAAATTCACATTCACCTGGAAGTAACTATTAGTATTTTTTTTCATTAAATAAAATCAATTATGAAATTTTATCTATCCATATTTATAATTATATATTCAAAATCAATTTTGATAACAAATTTCTAAACAATATTCAATATGAAAATCAAATTCATATATTTTATTATTTAAACAAAATCACGATATTTCTTATTCACATTTACTTAATCAATTATATCAATATATATCCAAACACACAAATTACCTTATTTTTTAAAAAATTATTTTAGAATTTATAATCACCCAATTCACCACCAAATCCAATGTTTAAGAAGGTTAGGTAAATTATGTATGGGGAAATAATAAGGCAATTTAGTTTTTATCGTGATCTTGAAATCATCATAGGAGATTTTACAGTCGTGAGTCGTTTATACTCCGTACAACAATTGGCAGTTCTTTCTGCATAAATTATACATAATACTTTTATCAGCAGAAGCTACAAATAATTTCTGCTCCCATGTCCAGAGGCTTTTTGAGAACACTACATTACAACAAAATGCTGCTTTTACGCGGAAACCAAAATTCAAAAAGCATTTTCAAGACTGCTAAACTTCAAAAATCTCACTTTTCGGTCTTCGAGTTACCATTGTGTCCACTTTCTCCCCTCTGCACTCACTCTGCTGAAAAGCTTCTAAAGCATGTTTTTGCATGCATGAACATACATTTCACATATGCTACTTAAGCATCATATATACATACCAGTTACCTACTTAACTGTGATGTAACAACAATGTTGGCCTCACTATTTCTTATGACCACTCCTGACTGATCTCTTCCTCCAATGCATGTGTGCAAAGAGTTGTTGCCCTTAGGATCACATGTTTGCGTGTCAAAAGAGAGTGATGCTGTAGTGCCTGACTCGAATTCTTTCACAACTGGGGTTCAGAAGAAAAGGTTGGATCATGAAATTGTTGTATAGTAATGAAAATATGGAATAGTTTATACTAGTTATATATTGAATTGTACAAGAAGAAACATGCGCACCTTGGGAGCCAACTAAAGTATTGGCATCTGAATGGATAGCACTTGATTGCTGGTAATGCAAAAGGTCTTCCCCTCGTATAGGCTTTACAATTCAAGTGAAACATGTAACAAAGACTAATACTTTTAACTACATATGATATACTACAAGGTTGAGCTTACCTCAGAAGTTCCTTTGTGTTGAAGAGGTTTTATATCTGGTTGGATTCGGGATTCCAGCCCGAAAGAAGTTTCTGAGTTGTTAATGTATGGAGGATAGGGCGCTGATGGCTGATTTGGCACAGCGTGTTTGTTAGGTAGATTGGATGCATAGTGCAAAGGGTTCTCTTGGTGCAGAGGCAGAGTAGCTGTCATGTTTAGAGGGGTAGACCTGTTTCTTTCACTTAATTCCATACTCATCTGAGATAACTGCAAGCCTTCAGGATAGCACATAGGATGCAAACTCAATCCATTTCTCATCGACAGCATCTGAAATTATGTCATGAAGAACTCATAAAGTTCAGTGATAGACTACTTTCAACTCAAAAACCAATTCTATTGAACAAAACCCATTTTCAAACTGACAACTATGACAAAATTTAATAATCATAAGCTTTGAATTCATCTAAGTAGAAAAAACATATGAGAACCAAACTCCTAGGAATATAGGCCTATAATAAGGTATCATTGCTTATGACAAAGATGATTCTAAAACTTTTTGTCTATGCTGCCCTTCTTTTTCACTATGAAGCTAATCAAGATTCAGGCTAACTCTTCAACTGAGACTGAATTAGTATTTTAACTTAGAGTGAAGGCTTCCTTCTACTCCTAGCAACAGTCTCCATGTGGCTGTAAACTTCAGATGTCAAATCATCAATAAGATCAGGTCCATTCTGTGTAATAGGCACCAATACCGGCCAGGTACAAAATTTAATTTTTACACGTCATTTTTTATTCTTGTAATTCTCATATCCAGTTGTTATCATTCGTTAAAGATATCTTTATCAAGATTCAATATACAAGTCAATTCTAACAGCACCTGTGGCATATATATTGCAAGGAAAAATAAAAAGAAACTACTAGAAAATTCACTGGATTATAATAGCAGCAAATAAAAATAATGGCTCTTCAAATGTTAGTAAAACTTTGGTTGCTTGAACTCGATGAATTCAAGTACAAAACCATAGAGGTTTTAGCGAGAAGACAACATTTCTGGCAAGGATTTTCTCAAATTTTCCTAAATTATGCAGTTTCACATACATATACTGTTCACATAAAAAAGAATTGCAGACAAGACGAACAACAATAACCAGAACATCAAAATTCACAAGTAGGACAAAACTGCAGCTTATAAAAGAAATACAGACCTGCACTTGTAGCTGAAGCTGTTTAAGGTACTCAATAGCTTCATCGAGCATTGAAGCCTTATCCGTCTGCCACACACAAAACAATTCATTACACCAAGACTAACTAATAACCAAAAAACTGCACCCGTAAAAACCTAGGTCGAAGAAACTTGTGCACCTTGTTAGAATTGGGAATTAGATTTTGCAAAGCCTTCATTTTCTCGTTGATCCTACTCCTTCTTCGCTGCTCAACAAGTCCAAGGCCAGAGCAAAAGGCACAAGGAAAATCACATAAGCATGATTAAAATCAACCCCAACAACCCAAGCTCAACAAACAGCCATCAACAGAAATCCACAAACCTTCTCAGACAAATTATGAACTTCTGCAGCTCTTGATCTTTTAGATGAACTCCTGGAAGGAGCAGGCTTTGTTGGAACTTCTTCGGCCAAAGCATCAACACCCTCCTACGTTCAGAAATTAGGAAGCAATTGTACTTCAAAATCGAAACAACAATAGACGCAGTTTTCACTTTAAATCCCCACAACAAAGCAGCAAAGTTCGTCCCAATTTTTTTCACCCCAACCAAAAGGTTTTACAAAGATCCGGACTAAAAACAGCCCAGGAAGCAAGTTTTATTTTTTATTTTTTTTTTTCACACTTACAGTTACGAATATCTTTATCAACCAGAAACCTAGCCATAACACCCAAAAAAAAAGGTTAAATATGTTGGTGTTACAATGTCAAACTGGGAACATAGAGTATTACGATGAGAAACAATTTTGCAGAGAAGCAACAATACTGAAAACTTGAAGAGTAAAAGAGAAGAAACAAACAGGGTGATATATACCTCACTTTCACAGTCATAGTCATCATTTTCGTTCTCACTGACTCCAACAGGTGAAGAAGACACATTTGCAGCAGAAACATGCAGAGGCTTGATAGCAAAGGAAGCGGTGGAATCAAGGGCTGGGATCTTTCCATCTTGGAGCGGTGAGGGCGAGAAAGAAGGGTGTGCATTTAGGTTATGGTGAGGAGCGTTGGATCCGGGCATGAAGTGGGAAGAAGAAGAAGAAGAAGGTGATGAACGGAGGAGAATCTGACGCAGGAAAAGAGAGATTTCGTCCTGCGAAGAGAGGTTCTTGTCGAAGTGGTACATGTCACCCATTGGTAGAGGTGTGAAGAATGCGAAGGGATGAAAGGGGTGGTTTTCCGTGCGTTGAGAAGCGAAGTAAATGGCAACGCAACCACTTTCAGAAACCTGTTGAAAAGGAAAAGGAAAAGGAAAAAGAACAAGGACATGAACACGACATGATATGGGGAATTGTGGGCGGGTTTTTGGATCACAATTGTGTTATGTTAATGTTACTCACGCGCCATCACCTTTCACAATTCTTCACTTTCCACTCTAAACTTTCACATATATAATACTAACTCCTCCCTCCTCCAATTTCACACTCTAAATAAATTATTACTAAATTCTTATAGGGGGACTTGTTTTGCACAATTTCAGCTTAATTTTAATTTTTTAAATTGTCAATCTCCTTCATCAAGAACATAGAACTAAGAAGAAACATAATTGAAAGTAAAATTATACTAAAGCCATCGGTTGGTAAAGTCGATAAACATAGTTTGAGACAGTATATATAAAGTCTTATTTATTATATTTCCTATTAATAAAAAAGTAAAAATAAATTAAAGGATTCAAATAAACAAGGTATATGAGGAGAGAATATATTATTAACCTTAATCACCACAAATACGAGGCCTGGCGTTCCTGTTGGTGTTGTTGTTTCTGTTTTTGCTGTGTCAGAAAGTGTAGTGGAAGTCCCGTGGTAGCACGCTCCACTACGTGTGGCAGTGGCACGTGAGCCACATAATCATATTTTTACTCTCAATCTTTAACACTGCTACTAATTCACTAATCTTCATGAATTTGGCTCTCAAGGTGTGCTGGCCGGTGCAACAGTGCCCATAAAAATTATCTTATATCAGATACAATGTTTATAATAGAAAATTAACAACGTACACGAGACCATTAGTGAAAAGAGAGAAATAAACAAATACATGTCACAACGGATTTAGATATAAAAAGAAAATTTGAATGGATGAAGTGAGATAAAAGAAAAACGATAGCTACATTATCTATTCAATAAATGAATGAGTGCGTGTTTAATTTTCATTTTCTAACAATTTTTTTTTCTGTTTAAATGTGAATTTACGTGAAAGTTATTATTTATTATTTCTAGTTAAACATGAAAGATTACATCTTGACTCTAATGTACACATGCTGAGTTCTAGTTAGAAGATATTTATAATTTTTTATATATATTCATAGGTACATATGAATATTCATGAATATTCATAAAAATATAAATTTTAAAATAAAAACTAACAAAATAAATCATTTTAAAACATATATTTATATTTAAAAAAATTATAACATATCTTTTTATTAAAATATAAGAATTTCACTATTCGTTTGCACACCATTATTAAGTGGTTACATATTTAAATATTCATCTAAAATTTATAGTGAGTTTTTTTTTTGTAAAATTTAAAAGTTATATAATACTTTAATTTAATATTAAATTGTTAAAATTATTGAATACAATAATTTGATTAAAATTAATTTGATATTTATTTATCTATCTATCTATTTCTCTCTCTATATATAAATGGATGCTAGTGGACGGTACTTCCTCTATCGTAAAGGTCTTACATATATATTATTGTTCAATGCTAGTCAAACGGACCTTTAAATCGAAAATCTAACACGAAAAGTAATAACTTAACATGAAATTTAAAGAAAAATAAATTTAACATGAAAGTTATATCACAAGTTGCATAAAATAGAAAATTGTCATATATATTAAATAACTACAATCAATTTACATAAACCAATAGAAGTACTACCAAAAATGAATACTAGTTTATTGGAGAGTGCTTTCTATATATGGGAGGAGACATTATCTTGTTCTATAGTCCAGATGATGAGTAACAATAAAATATATTTTATTTACTTTTTTTTCCCTTCTTATATCATCATTTATTATATTGGCTACTTTTTTCTTCTTCCTTATGTTTCTATGATTCTATCCACTACGTTTCTAACATAGTTGAATATCCCATTATATTTTTGGAAACTGATTATAATAGACTATCGTTTTTAATTCTCTCTAAAATATCGTGAAAATAGAGTTTGATTAAGGTTTCCAAGATCAAGTTTAAATATTATAAATTGTGTTTGCATTTCTATATAAAAAAAAAATTATAATGATTTTTCTGAAAAATAAAAAACTTAAATGAATTAAATGATTATGGCCATTGTAAAAATATTTCAGATGCCAAGTTATAGTCCGTAATATTTACTTGTGTCAGACCTTGCGACCGATCACCACATAAGTGAATGTGAAGTTTGTATTTTTTTTTTTAAATGTCTCTGATACTGTTACTGTTAGAACTTACAAGTCCATAGCTATGATTTCGATGAGACGACTCCTTGCGATTATGCATGAAAGCAGCAACCCCTTCCCACGCAAACCCTTATCTTCAGAGTTAAATAATTAAATCAGTAATACTACTATATAATGATATTAGTCTTTTGGTTACAACTAAATTTATATTTTATTTCACTTTATTTTTTCATCATTATCCTATAGCAAATGAGTAGTTAAAAATAAGATAATTTTTTAAAATTAAAAATATATAATTTAATATTTAAACGTTTCAAAAGTAAGAAAAGTAGTTATTCTTAAAAAAATTAAAGTGAAGCAGAGCTTAAAATGGGAATGGTGAGATGAGATATGATTAGTTGATCAGACGTCTCAATCTCTACCTCTATCATTGTCTTGTCCGACTCAACGTCACCTTAACCCGACATAACAAATATTTATTAATATCTTTTACTAAACCTTATTCATTATTCGTACTAGCACGTGGCTAATCTTGATTGGCTCAGAAAATCTCGAATCCAGTGCTGTGGGATGGACCACCACAGTATCTGCGTCAATGTCATCCAACGTCACACATACAAGGCATCAACGATCATACACGCCAACTAGTACCTACCATCACTATTTTCATTTTTCTCTTTCTCTTTGTTATGCAAAAGAAGAGAACAAGGCAGAAGAAAATGATGTATTTCTTGTTTTGTATATATGCATCCAAAGAAAAGAAAGAGGGGGTATTAATTATAATTGTCAACGAAAATTGTAAGTATATTTTCTGAAATAATAGCAAAGGGTTGATTGATTTGATTAGATTAGAGGGCTGTTTTTTGCTTTTGCTGTAACTGTAATGATGAAAGCATCGTGAATAGTGATGTACATTGTGTAGAGTGTAGAGTATGATTTGGGTGATATGATAGTTAAAACGACAAGTTAAAGCAAATGGTGAATTGAATTGTCTAGATTTATTGCATTGAATGGGTTCTTATAACTTATTGTAGAAAGTGCAGTTATGATTTGGAAGAAGGATCCGATGGTACTCTCTGGTGTGGTGTGGTCGTATCTAAAAGAATCGAATATGTTGGTTGTGGGGTAATGCAACTTTTTGACTCTGACTTTCATCACGATACGAGAGACTGAGAGATGCGCCTTCTTCTACTGTGGTTGTGTTGTGTTGTGGCCAAAGATGAGAGAGGATTCATTCTGGACACAACTGCATGGGAACAGGGATATTGTTAAATTTCAAACAAAGCTTAGATTCAAAGCCACTGTTTTAAAACTCAATAAATAATCTTATGAAGCTTCTATATATACTTTTCATTTCAAAAAGATATTAACAAAATTTTCTCTTTTATCTTTAACAGATTTTTGCTGAATTTTTTATTAATTAAAATTCAGAAAATTATTAACATTTATACTATACAATATGTATGGATTTTTTTTACAGGGTAATATGTACAGATATGAAACAATAAAAAGATTATATTATACTAACAATGTTTAGCATAGTTAGTAGATACCTAATTTCTTAAATTGAATTTTTTATGCTGTGGAACCCCAAAAAAACTTTAATGTATATCTATTATATCAAACAAACGGCACATGTATATTTGAAGTAGGGATGACAAATAAATTCATACATGTGAGTAATACTTAAATTTGTCTCGATTTTGATTGAAAATACTCATTTTGATTGGGTATAGGTACGGGTATATATGTTGTACTCATATCTATATCGATCCCCGTTCCCATTCCCTGCTTAATACTCACTTTTAATTTAATTGTATTAAAAAAAATTAATATTTTATTATGTGTAATTATTTATTATAATGTGAAACATTTATAATTATTTAATTATTAAGAAGTCTCTTAATTAAAATATGAGATAGAGAAACAACTTAATTATAATTATAATATAATGAAAAAATAATTTAAAAATATTGTGTTTTTTTTAATAAAATAAAATAATTTTTTACGGGAACGGATACGGGTATACCTGATACCTAACAAGAACGGGGATGAGGATGAAAATTATATACCCTATAGGTACAGGGATGGGTTTGAATTATGAGAACATGAACGGGTATCATGAAACCTGTACTTGACCCACCCGTTGTCATTCCTAATTTTGAGACAAGAACGAATTCACATTGTTCATAGTGGTAAAAAGCGCCCTCACTAAAATGTTTAGTTTATATATATATAATAATAATGTACTTACACTTATTATGTTAAAAATTAAATATTTTTACTCTTTTTTGTAATTTTGTTTTGTAAAAAAGTGTTAAAGTTAATATATTAATTTTTTAAGTTTTTTTTTATAATATATATAATACTATTTTGTCTCGTAATAACTGTTTTGTTCGAACAAAAAATAAGTCTTAAAATAAGTGTAATATTAACGTTTATATTAATTAGTTTTTTTTATTTATATCTTTCAAAGTATTTTTTAGTTGTATTGCATTATTTTTAATAATAAAAAAAATTAATAATAAGGTTTCTTTATTCTTGGTCTGTGTAAAATAATTTAGAACAATACTTATTATGAGACAGAAAAAAAAAATATCAATTATAATTAAGTTAGTTAATGGACTAATGAGTGATGACTGATCCAATCTCATATTATATTGTTTTTTTTTTAAAGTAAAAAATTTGATATATAATATAAATGGTTAAATGATTGTTTAATTATTTATATAAAAATGATATTTTAAAAGTGTTAAAAATGATAAAATTATTCAATAGTTTTAAAATATAAATTTTTATAAAAAAATAATTTGATATATTTATATTTTAAAGAAACAAGAAATTTTATGTTTAAACTACAAATTTATGTATACGTACAATCCCTGCTACTTAAAATTTTTTGATCTGCCATTGTTTGTAGATCATGCTATCTTATATTATTACTTAATGATTTACATTAAATAATAAGTTTAACGTTTATTTTTTATTCGTGGGAATAGAATACTAATTTTATATACACCCTATTCTCACATAATCATATTTTAATTTTTACAACACATATTTTTTAATTTTAATACTAAATTAAATTATTTTTATTTAATTAACTAATTATTTAAGAAAATACTTTAAAATTAATTTAATCAAAATTAAAATTAAGTATAATGAGATATTTTGCAAATAACTAATAAAATATATATTTTTTAACTAAACTAATATTTAAAAATTGAAAAGGTCTATAGTTTTATATTTTAATATATACTTTCTCATATATTCTTAATTTACGTTTTTTAATATTTCATTTATATTTAAATGTACCCATACAATGTGTATTTGTTATTTTCATGGATAAAGTCTCGTAGTATCAGCTTGTGAAGCCCATGAGTAAAAGAACTGAATTGAGTGCTATACACGGACAATAAAAATGAGGTGAAGAATAAAGAATAGATCAATGAAGGCTTAAATATAATTTTTTTTATCAATGATGAACTAATTACTTTTAAGTAATAAGAGGATAAAATGTCTGAAATATTAAAAGTAAATTAAAAAAATGTATAAAGTCTAAAAATTAAGTAATAAAATTTATAAAATCAAAAAATATGAATAATAAAAATGTTAATTAAATCATTATTGAATAATTAAAAAATAAATAAAAATGTGACAAGGTACTTATAGTTGACAATATTCCTTCTGTATTCTACTATAAGAAAAAAAAACACATATTTTTTTAATATAAACAAATTTTAATTATTTAATAAATGATCTTTCACTTGCATTACTTTTTTTTAATCCTTTATAATAAGGATAATTTAAAAATAATTTTATAAAATTAATAAAATTTAATATAAATAACTAAATTTTTTAATAATATAATTTTTTTCCTTATAATAAAGAACAGACAAAGTATAGTAAAGAGAAATTGGGAAAATATTATTTGTTGTGGATCATTATTACTTTTAACTGCAACTCCTAACTCATGCTAAATTGAAGAATGTTTTCCATAATTATAATGAAAGAATAGCATAAGAATTTGGAGTTAGCTCTCGTCTTAATGATGGAGTCCCAATTAAAATATCAGTTTTTAAAATTTTTAAAATGACCAGCCTGTGGCAGGGAGTTTCACCTCCTACTTAATATAATAATAATAATTCAGTTATAATAATGAGAGTGAGGAAGGTGTTAAAGAATTTTCTAACAAGAAATGTTTACATATGAGTCTTTAAAATAGAAAGGAAGCCTGAAAAATTCCAAATGGATCGAAGCTTCAGCCTACCAACTCCATAACTACCATTGACGATCATTAATTTCATCAAATGAAAATGAAAGGAATTACCTACGACACTTGTGCTTAATTTCTATAAATAAGCGTTTTGGGCCATTGTTTACATAACGTAGCAAAGACAGAGATGACTATGACTAAGGAGGAACAACAACAAAACCACATCGCTGGTCACAAAGAACAAGGTCACAAAAGTCTCCTTCAGAGCGATGCACTCTATCAGGTAAAGGTTCCTCCAATTACCAACATGTTTTCATTTTATCTCTAAAGTCAACAATTTTTTGTCTCCAATTCCCTATATTATACCGGTGGTGCAGTATATACTTGAAACCAGTGTGTACCCAAGAGAGCATGAGAGCTTGAAGGAGCTGCGAGAGTTGACCCAAAAACATCCTTGGTAAGATCATCAATATATGTTCACAATAATTAATCAATGTTTTCAACTGACTAAAATAGTAAAATACATACTGTAGAGAAAAGGTGAGTCCTAAAATAACTAATTTTCAAGATATTAGTCCCTTACTTTGATCAGACGATATATATTTTGGAAGAAGAAAAAAACACTGACTTCTAGGCACACGATTTTGTAAAACAGGAACCTGATGGCTACGCCAGCGGACGAAGGACAACTTCTAGGCATGCTACTTAAGCTTATCAATGCTAAGAACACCATGGAAATAGGAGTATACACTGGTTACTCCTTGCTTTCCACTGCCCTCGCCCTACCACCTCACGGAAAGGTCATTCATTAATTTGCTTAACCACAACTCTGCTTGGATTCATATTTAGAAGTATTTCTTAAAAAAAAAAATTATATTAAAAATAAAAAGAAGTTGTGAGAAATACTTGAATACTTCTATCTAAACATGTTTTATATATTATATAGTACTTAAGAGTTATTAATCGTGAATTAACATAAATGATTCGATCAAGGTTGCGTTTTTCATGACGCAAGCTTAATATTTGTTGTAACTATTAAAATTTTATTTTGGTGAGCATATCTTATTTAAAGAGATCTCTTAAAACTAAGTGAAATTCTTTTGAAATTTTTTTATTGATTTTTAGTTTCACAAATAAAATTCTACATCAAATTAGACACTATTAAACTGAACATTAATTTTTAGGTTAATGATTTTGAACATGTCATTGACACTATACTCAATGATTTTTGGAGATGTCATTATCTATTTACCATTTTACAAATAAAAAAATAAATAGATTTTTTTTTTAATATATGACAACTATAAGTTATTTTCCTAATTACTCTAGTGTTATACTATTAATTAATAAAACATCATCGTTAATATGATTTTTTAAATAATTATCATAAAAGTTAATAAAGTTATTATATATATATATATAAATAAATAAATAAGAGTCGTCAATTTATAATGAGTTATTCTCATAACTTAAAATTTCTGTGTATAAGATTAAGATAGAAATTTGATATATTAATTAATTAAGCTGGACTGCATGAGTGTACTGAGTAATGAAGTACGTTTTGTTGAAATTAGATCTTAGCTATGGATGTTAACCGGCAATATTATGAACTGGGGTTGCCTGTGATTCAAAAAGCTGGAGTGGCTCACAAGATTGACTTCAGAGAAGGACCTGCTCTTTCTCTTCTTGACCAACTCATCAAACAAGTACGTGCCTAGCCTTCATATTATTAATTAATTTTATAGATAAAAGAAAGATTCATTGCAAATGAAAAATTATGTATATATATTTGTGTTAGCTAGAAAGTTGAAATGGTTAATTGTGATTCGTTCATTTTGCATTGCATGCATGCGCAGGAAAAGAATAAGGGAACGTTCGATTTCATCTTCGTGGATGCTGATAAGGACAACTACTTGAACTACCACAAGAGGGTGATTGAGCTTGTGAAGGTTGGGGGACTGATCGGCTACGACAACACCCTATGGAACGGCTCCGTGGTCGCCCCACCCGATGCGCCTCTCATGAATTACATTAGGCATTATCGCCATTTTGTCATGGAGCTCAACAAAGCTCTTGCACTCGATTCAAGGGTCGAGATTTGCCAGCTTCCCGTTGGTGATGGGATTACCCTGTGCCGCCGCATCATCTGATCACTCTCCCCCTTCCCTCTCATTTTACGTATCTCACCTGCTATATGTAGTAGAAAAACACAAGTTTCTCCTATTCTACCTAATCCTTAAATAAATTCATTCATGTATGCTTGCATGGATTTTATTAGTTACTCTTCTACAGTTCTACGCAATTACATCCATAATGTTTTTCTTCCTTGACGCAACGCTAACACGTTTTAATTCAAAGTCATATATGTGACATATATACAATGAGTAAGCGATAATAATATGTTCAGTTATAAATGTTTTTAATAAAATATACCTAAACTAGAAGTGGTAGAAGAGTCCATTAATATATACTTCAACTTTATAAAGTTCATTTTTAAAAGAATATTCATGTAAAATTTAATTAAATTTACATCGTTAAAATTAAACAAACTTGAATCAAATTGGATGGATGGTATGGGTGGGAAGAAATCCTCTCTCTTTTATTTTCATATCTAATGGATCATTTAATTAATACTTAATGATCAAAATATATCCAAACATATATTTTTTTTATATTAAACTTTTTCTTTTATTAAAAATTTACACCCATTTTGTTTATGTTCAAATAACAGTTTTGTTCGAGATCGAACTGAGGTAAAAATGTTTTGTCTATATAATTATATCAATTTATATAATACTTTTTCTCCTAATGTCAAATACAATTATATTACTATATTAGTAAGTTATAAATTTATATGACTATAAAAAATTTACATTAATGACATACAAAAAATGTCATTATAAGTATAATATATATGTAGATATATATCTATCTGACATATAACTATACATAATTTTAGTGTTGATTTTGAATGAGATTTAACAATATATTTGTATGTCACTATAACTTATACTCATACTTTATAACAATATACCAACATATACTATATTTATTATGTGAGTAAAAATAGTTTATAGTGAACATATTTATATGTGTTATTATATCGCAATTTTCTTATAATACATAAACAATGTTGAGGACACTAATCAAATGACATAATATATTAGGATCTCACTTGAAAATAATTAATGAATATGCTATAAAGTCAAAAATAAGATGTTAAAAGATAATAATAAGATAATTAAGTTATATATAAATTAATGCAAAAAAAATTATATACAAATTATATCATTTGATTGACCAATTATTTCCTAACTTTTTAAAATTTGTTATGTTGGCCCGAACAAAACTCACTTTTTTTTTACCGTCTTTAATAACTCATTATTTATATAATTATAATTATTTCGGTACTACAAGATTTTCAAGTTGACCTTCATCTCAATGATAACTTGAATTTCAATCTCATTTGTATATGTATTGATTTAGCAATGTCAAATACACTTAACAATTTTTTTTATTACTCAAAAAACATGAATTATATGAATTTTGTATTTTTGAAATTATAATTTATTTTGCAATAAATTTTTTTAACCTTTTAGTTCGTTAACTAGTGACATTAAGACATTTGTTAACATTTGCCAAATGGAAAATGGATTAGAATATGTTACAAGTATTATCTTTATTATTATTTAATTTTAAAAAAAAATTAATAACACTCTTTTTATTATTAATTTAAATTTCAATGTATATAAGTTAGACTTGCTAAATAATTTGAATCTCACTCTTTATTATTTAATAAGATCCACATAATATTAAAAAAAAACCTAACTAACAATTATGTAAAACAAAGTATTATTATTGGGATAAAATGCGTTTCTAATCCTTGAAAATTTGTCTTATTAATCCCTAAATTTTAAAATTTTAGTCTTGTTATACATTTTTCTAAAATACAATAGAATTAGTCTCTGTTGTCACATGAAATATTATAATGTCAGCAAACAGGACTAATAATATTAGGATGAGAAATTAATTTTACCAATTTTTAGAAATATGAGGATCAAAATATTGTTTTTAAAGTGTAGAAACTAAGATAATTTTAAATAAAAATTACAAAAGCCTAAAATACATTATACCCTTACAAAAATAACGTCTACACGAATTTTTTACGTAAATAATATTTTTTTTAAAAAAAATTATAAAAGTAACATCTGTGCAACTTTATTTACTCAACTAGAACCAATCACTGTTCATGCTCAGAATTCGGTTCCCGGAAAACCGAATTCTGAGCTTCAATATTTTTTTTCCTTTTTTTTGTGCTCAGAATTCGGTTCCCGGGAACCGATTTCTGAGTTGTTTTAATTTTTTTTTTTTTTTGCGTTTGAGGTCCAGTTTGGGCGAATCTGGGAAGTGGAACGGGCCGTTCCGGAAGCAGAACGGCCCGTTCTGCTTAAACACATAGAGTGTTATTTTTGAAATTGGAACGGGTGAAGAACGGGCCGTTCCAATTTCAAAAATAACACTCTATTTGTTTAAGCAGAACGGGCCGTTCTGCTTTCGGAACGGCCCGTTCCACTTCCCAGAAACGCAAAAAAAATTAAAAACAACTCAGAATTCGGTTCCCGGGGAACCGAATTCTGAGCACAAAAAAAAAATTTGAAGCTCAGAATTCGGTTTCCGGGGAACCGAATTCTGAGCATGAACAGTGATTGGTTCTAGTTGAGTAAATAATGTTGTACAGATGTTACTTTTGTAATTTTTTTTAAAAAGAATATTATTTATGTAAAAAATTCACGTCTACACTCTACAAGAGTCGTAGGTTTTTTCTTTGGTCCGTACAAAAGGTCACTTTTAATTTGATCTGGTCCAAAAAGATCACGTTTAATCTGGGTAGTGGGTAGATCTAAATATTGGGCTACCCAGGTTTGATAAACGGCAAATAAGACATACACTTTTTTTATAAATAAAAAAAAAAAGTACATCTTCTTTATTTTTTAAAAAAATTCTTAAATATCTTTAATTTTTAATTTTTAAAATTTTTAATTTTACACCTCTAACTTTCAATTTAATACTGTTTTCTTATTTTTCACACACATCTTTTCCTTTCATTTTCAAATTTTCATGCACTTTTTGTCTTCTCTCATTCCCACATATTTCAAATAGGTAATTTTAATTCTTTCAATTTTCACATTACTCTCATTCTCTCCCATCTCTGTCAATTTTTGCATGTGACAGTGTTATAGATATATGTGCCTTCCTCAACAATTTCGAAAGTGTCAAGTTAAACATGTGTTTTTTCTTCGAACACTTCATCTTCTTTTATACTTCTATAATTCTTAACATTAAATTTAGTGTTCTATGAAATACTTGCGGGAACATTAATTTTCATATTTCAAAAAGTGCTTTTTGGACAAGTGAAATTAATGTTTTCAAAATAATGAAATTAGTGTTTTAGAAAATATTTTATAGAATTGTATTTTTTACATACTTTCAGAAAGTACTTTTCAAAACCATAAATTTAGTGTTTAAAAAAAACACTTTTCAGAATTATGTAACATAATATGCTTTCAAAAAATACTTTTCGAAACACCAATTTAAGTGTTTTGCAATGTATTTCCATATTAGAAAAATTAATGTTTTAAAACGTACTTTTCAAAAAAATTTGAAAATTTATTATTTTACATAATTCAAGAAAATTCTTTTTGGAATAGTAAATTTAGTGTACCAGAAATTTTTTTCTGCAAGTATACTAAAAACATAATTTTAGAATACTAATTTTACTATTTTGAAAAGTACTTTTTAAAATACTAAAATTATTTAAAATATTAAACTTAATGATGTGCTTTCTAGACATATAAATGGGAGAAGGACTTAAAAAAATGTATATTTGGCTCGACATCTTCAACATTGTCGAAGAAGCCATATACACTTATAATGGTGTCGACCACCAATTTTATGTTTTGAGATTATGAAAACTAAAAAATGGGAGAGAGAGAGAGAGAGAGGGTAATAGTGTGAGTAATATAAAAATTAAAAAAATTAAAATTACCTACTGAAATAGATAGAGAGTAAGGAGAAGGGAAGGGGATTATGCAAAAATTAAAAAGAAGATGAAAAGAGTTGTGTGAAAAATAAGAAGAAAATGTTGAATTAAATGTTCGAGGTATAAAATTTTAAAATTAAAAATTTTAAAAATAAAAAACATCTTAAGAATTTGTTTTTTTTTTATATAAAAAGGAAAGGATGTCTACTTATAAAATAATAATAAATAAAAAAAGATATTATATATCATGAACCTTGATAAACATACCTTGATTTCTTCTTATTAGGCTGTATTTTAGGAATGTTCACTAACCAATATATCTTAACTTTTTTCTAATTTGAGAGTGTCCTATATATATTATTGTTTCTTTTTTGGGTCATGTTTTTAATTTTGTATCTTTTATCATGTTGGAAAGTATTTTTTTTATTAGTCCAAACAAATAAATATCCGGGGCATCATTAACCAACACACAAAAGATTATCATCCATTAGATGATCTAAATTATATATTATTCTGGAAAAAGGATAGTAGACGAGGAACCCCTAGTGATACGAACTCTAAGAGAACTTAATCGTTGTCTTGGCCTAGAACATTTGACGAACATAATTACCTTTATCAAAATCCTTTTTTCCTTTATATATATGGGTGTCATATTAAGGATACAAATCTTTTTCTCTAATCTCAATCCTTGAAATAAGCCTTGATTTAATTTCCCATAACGTCTATAAATCAAATTTATAATCGTAATCAAATATGAGAATCATGGAAATTATTGCCTTAATTAATTTTAGAAAATCCGTGATTGATCCTGAATTCGGTTTGCTCAGACAGATGGAGAGTTGGAGCATATGTGACAAATCTTTTTCTCCAATATTTTTTCTCTAATCTCAATCCCTTGAAATAAGCCTTGATTTTATTTCTCATAATGAGCCTATAAATCACATTTATAACTGTAATCAAATATGAGAATCATGGGAATTATTGTCTTAATTAATTTTAGAAAATCTGTGAGTGATCTTGAATTTGGTTTGCTTGGACGGATGGAGAGTTGGAGGATATGTGACAAATCTTTTTCTCCAATCTTTTTCTCTAATCTCAATCCCTTGAAATAAGCCTTGATTTTATTTTTCATAATGAGTCTATAAATCACATTTATAACCGTAATCAAATATGAGAATCATGGGAATTATTGCCTTAATTAATTTTAGAAAATCCGTGAGTGATCCTGAACTTGGTTCGTTCGGTTGGATGGAGAGTTAGAGGATATTTGACCCTCCATGCTCAATTGTTAACAATACAAATAGCCTTTATTTGATCGATTTGATTAATTGGGAATCTGGAGAATACACAACCCTCCAGGCTCGAGCGTCAAGGTCGCAAAGAGTCTTGCGTTGACCAATTCAATCAATTGAAAAGTCAGATACTACATATAATGTATCAATTTCCTGCCGTGAAAAATAAAATTTGTCTCATAAAAAAAATATTTATATACATATTTTACTAATAAGTAATGAGCAACATTATCCTAAAAAATAAAGCAATATTTTATGAAAAATATAATTAAGATTTTGTAATATAAAATTTATTAAAAAATATTGACGGACGTGTATTTATTTTTTTTGAAGGAACGGACGTGTATTTATGTACATCCCAAAACTATAGCTTTTAATTTATCCACGCAAGAAAGTCCACGGAGAAACGTGAATGAAAACTTACAACTTAAAAAGAAAACTAAAATAGATTAAAAAAAAAATTAAAAGGATAAACTTAAAACTAGCCATGCTTAGTTGGAGCTATCCACTAAAATATTAAAAATAAGTGAGTCAAATACACTATTTTTATTCAGACAAATAAAAGTAAAAGATTATTTTCAACCTTTTAAAAGTAAAAGATTAACTCAAACAATTTAGGTCAGTACTTTTCTTTTACGCAATAATATGGGTACCAAATAAGTCGTCAAGTTATAAAATATATGCTAAGTTTCACACGATTCCGAATGAGCTAATATATTAGTCATTCCACACCTCACAACATGTTATATAATATATGCTAGTTTTCCCAAGCTCAGGAAATAGGAAACCAATTTTTTTCCTTCTTTAGTCGGTAATAAATAAAAAGAATTTTAGTACAATTAATAAAAACTCAACTAATATCATTTATTGCCGCACACAACTCATTATCATTTCCAAATTCCAATTATTAAATCATGTATTAACATCATTCTTCAAAAAAATAATAATAATGTATTAACATGATATTAAAAAAGAAAAGGATTTGATGGAAAATATAAATATAATACACAGAGGATCCACATTAAACAGAAAATATCGACTAGAATCTGTGTAGGTAGCAACATATTCCATAATTATGTGTAAATAAAAATTGTAAATGCCGCCATTTTTTTAACTAATAGAAGAAAAAAAGTGGGTAGACAGAAAAAGGAAGGACGTGGCAGTTATAAGGATGACGAAAACATGAGGACACTTTTTCTCTTGCCTTGTTGGTCTGTTTTATTATTAATATATTTATTCAGCTAACTTGGCGGAACCAAAAGCCATTTCCAACATCAGCACCGAGCATAGCAGAGTTTAAGGTTTGAATTGAGGTTAAGGATTTATGATTGTGAGAGAGGATATCATGGAAGTTGAGGCAGAGATTGATCGCTTGCCAATTGACTTGTTGGCTCATATTTTTGTTATGTTCACTTCCTTCACTGATTTGGCCCAGTAAGTTCTGTTTGTGTTCCCTGCATGATTCTTTCGTTCTTTTAATAATTCATGCACCATGACTTGGTCTAGTGGTGCTGTTTTGTCAGGGCTAGCGGTGTTTGCAAGAAATGGAAACAAGGGGTGATGGAGTCTCTTGCTCGCAGACACAATCTCAGCTTTGCAGGTTGGAAGATGGATGATGACTCCACTGCTCGCCTTGTTTATCATGCCTACAACCTCACTAAACTAGACATGTATGTATGTATATATATATGTCTTTATTTTCTTTTCAGACCCCTCAATTCTATTCTACGATCATTGTTCCGATATGTGATTATGTTTTTTCTGATTGTAATTTCATGGCCCTTTGTAGTATATGGATGGTACAATGTTTCTCATATCTTCCCTTTGAAACATCAAAGTGAAATTTCGGTGTTGATTTTAAGAGCTTTGGAGATGAATTATAAATTTTGATTGTACAGACAGGAGTTGAATTGGCACTTTAATGGAAACTATCTCTGCTGTTTTAGGTTCTGGGAGAAACTAGTATTTGGAGAAGGTTGATAACATGTTTATTTAGGGATAGTACGATAGTTGAGCGCTGTGAACATGCTGCTCTGTTTGAAAGCATAAATAGTGTATGTGTCAAATAGTAATATGAGAAATGGGAATCTGGTGGAGTTTTGAACTCAAAGTAAAAGCCATATTTGTAATATTGTTGTTGATATGATTCCGCACCATTTTTCCTTGAGCCGTATCTCTAACCTTTTTCTCCAGATTGTGGCAAGGGTAATAGAACAGTAGTTTTTTTCTTTATTTTCTCTTCTCGTTTGTAAAGTTTTCTGATACGAACATGCCAATATTTGAATAGGAGTGAGGGATGTTTGGTACACAGCAAATAGTGGTTGAATAGATTAGATTATACATGTTAGTTCATCTTAAACTCAAAGAATATATGAAACAAGTGAAGCTCCATTGACTTCGATAAGTAAAATTTGGCACCTGAATCAAGCAATAGTAGATTTTGGTAGTTTATCATCAGTAGATCTAAGATGCATGACATTATTGTCTTTTGTAATTGCAGACCTATGAGTCGTTGGGGTTGCCAAATAACTGACGCTGGACTTCTCAGAATATCTTTTGCTAAGTGTGTCAGCAATCTCACATCCATATCATTGTGGGGTTTGACTGGCATCACAGATGAAGGTGTTGTTCAACTGGTATGTCATTGTTCTTTTTTTCTAACTTGCTATATGCTAGGGTAGTGTGATAGTTGGGATGATATTCATTTTGTGCTAGACTATGATATTTGGGATGAAATTAGAATATTTAGATGAATCTTGGAAATTTAAGGCTATTCTTGACTAGATTGTGCAGATACTATTCTGACATTTGTCAAGTTGATGAATTGTTATTTTGGGTGTTTTCACATCCTTTGCAAGATCAACAACGTTTGGGTTTCAATTGATAGTCCCAAAATCAAGATTTAGGAAAAACCAAACACTATTGGTCAATGGAAGTGTGTTTTACTTTTAATTCCTTTTGCTTCTCTGATGACAATTATCGTAACAGATATCTAGAACTAGATCTTTACAACATCTGAATGTTGGTGGTACATTTATCACGGATGAATCTCTGTTTGCCATAGCAAGAAGTTGCCCAAAGTTGGAGGTAAGTTACAAGAAAATGAATGCTAGGTGTTTGTGTCGACTGATTCTTCTCCTCTCATAACAAAAGAAGAAGAAAATTAGTACATCAGAACAAAAGTTTTTGTTGATGCTCATGGCCCAAAGAGAAAAACAACCATTACAATTTACCTTTGAGTTTAATTTAAAGGAAAAAACTTGCATACAATTTTATAAGTGGTGTTTAAGCAATTTTCCAATCAAAATTGGAGTATAAATAGCACTTAGAAAACTTTATGTAAGTTTTATACTATCAAACAATCATAACTTAAAATATGTATGATTTTTAAGGTAATTATTGTAAAAGTTAACAAACTCATCATGCATGACAATGTGTAATAATATGACTATGTAAAATCATTTTACACTATTAATGCATAAACTATTTACTCTATAAGATTATTAAGAAATGGCATTTCATTCATCTCGCTGTCTGTATTTCGTGATGTATTAGACTGGTGTGGTATTCCATCGCATTAATTATATATGATTGCTTCTTTTGTTTTTGTTCAGACCATAGTTCTTTGGAGCTGTCATCATGTCACGGAGAGGGGACTTCTTGCACTAGTTGATAAATGCCTGAAGCTCAAATCAATGAATGTATGGGGAACAAGAGTTCCCGAGCACTGCTTTAACAATTTACTTATTCTGAGTCCAGCCCTTCAGATAAAACTATGAAACTCGACGCACTACATCTGCATGTATAGAATGTTGATGTTGATTCAATTCAACAGTGGTATTTTCACTGCTTATTGTTTCCTTCTTGTGTTCATAAATTCAACTTGCCTGAAAAGCTGAACATGTCAAAGTCCATTCCTTACTGTTTAGGAAATATTCTGTTTTAGTGTATATATTATATTTAATCAAGTGGCTATCCTGTAAAGGATAAATTCACAAAACAGGTCACATTGTTCTTTATTGATTCATTTAGTGAAATATTTCAATGTATCTACTTACCGACTCTATCTATGGAAGTTGCATTCAAAGTGTATAATTATATTTAGATAAATTGTTTAACAATTTAGGAAAATAAAATAAAATGAGAACATAAAATAATCATGATAATCGTAAATGCAAAATCATCCAGGGTCCATTAGTGTTTTGATTAATTCAAGAGTAATGACTATCATACATACAAAAGTGGTCAATCCAATATCCACTTATGTTTCTCCAAATTTTAAATATATTTTAAAAAAAAAAATAATTTAACTGAGATTTAATTAAGATTATTACAAAATATTTAATATTACATGTATAAATTTTATTTAATTTAATTTTATATAAATTGTTGTATTTGTATCTTAAGTTTATTTTTCAAAAAATTATCATATTTAGGTATTATACTGTATTCAATTCAATACTTGTAATCCAAGAACAAGCCAACCTGACAGCTGATACAATGGATTAGTTTATTGAGTTGGAAAACTCAACTTGACAATGGTGTTTGCTCATGCAACGCAGCGTGCAAAAGTAAACATGTTTGTTTCTCGTCATTTTTGTTTGCCAGTGTGTCTGGATCTGCGTTTTGAGGCTACGGATTTACAAAAGTCGATAGCTACCACATGTTTGATTTGACATTTTATCATATGATTCGCATCAGTTCAAAAGTAACCCAGTTTAGCTTCTACGTTTTTTTTAAATTTTTTTACGTGAAAATCTTATGCATGTTTAAGACGGGAGATCAGACAATCACTACTCAACTTTGATGTGAAAGTTTACATCTACACGAGTTTACGAGCATTCCCAAACACGCTATATATTAATTATATTCTCCTTATGTTAAATGACAGAGAAATAAGAGAGCAACAAACGGTTTTTCTTTTTTAATCAATCTAAAGGTGGGGGTTGGATTTTTTTTTTCTTTTCTTTTACAGACATAAAATTTATTGTGCAAAACGAATCTACACGATGTTCTTCTTTTAGAAGCTGTGCATTGTGCAAATTTCATGCAAGTTCCTCTGTTAAATTAAAAGGTCATGCTCCATATTATGTATTAACTATTTGTTTTATGGTTAAAATGTAGAATAGAACCACTATATTGTTTCAACATCAATACATAGAAGGAAAGACAGGTGATAAGAATCATCAGAATACAATCGTAAAATGACCAAGAGCTTCCAGCCATCCTGATCCTATATTGCAAATTTCCTATTCAGTCATTGCCTAATGTTACCTTCGTACAAATCCTGAAACACAATGAGGGGAAATATTATAAATATAAGGAGAGGGCAACACAATAACAAATACTTAGGGGTACCAGCTAAGACATCACATCCGGTATCCACCATCACAATGGAGAGCCATCATATCGATGGAACCACAAATAATAACAATGTGACAAAGGTTTTTCAACCCTTAGAAACTTGAACCAGGTAAACTCAGCCTTCTAGCTCATGAAAGGTTATTAAATATTGCAGGTTGAATTTGAATCAGAAACTCCCTGGAGAAAAATAATTATCTAATCCGACATGATCATGATGATTGGTAGTTTAAGCAAGAAGATTTTTTACTTGTCAAATTTGTGACATCTTAACATATTCATATAAATAAATTTGAAAGAAACAAAGCACCTAATCAGAGCTTGGTCAATAACTTCAGGTTAATACATATGCAACTATTTTATCAAATCATTTTGCCAAGCTCGTTATGCTCCTAAATGCAAAGAGAGAAAGGGAAAGGAAGTGTAAGCATCCAGAGTTGAAACATCTAGAAATTGAGCTATACTGCCAAGCATACAACATACCTGAACTGCTCCGGATGCATTCTTAGTCTTTCTTGGTTACCATCTACCTCAGACGACCTCAGAGATCCTTGATTATAGCCTCAGCAATTCCAAAATTTTGTTTATCTAATTTCTAACCTATAAGCAATTCCATGGCATTTCACAGTTTGAGGCAGTACTTCAGTGTACGTACTAAAATACTACAAGCCCCTCTCTAAAAGACATACTGAATTATGATAAACAAATATGATAACACTAGGAGCTTCTCTTGAAAGACTTAGCTAGCATATGGTATAATACTTGTCACAATTGCAATAAAACAGCAATAAACAGGAAGTAAAACAAGAGGAAAAGCCAGCAATTTGGGGAATGGACTGGTGAAGCTGATCTAGAGAACTGAACAGATCCTGTAAAGCTCCCAGCTGTGTTGGTCACTGGACTTGTATTGGGTACTGCAATGTTCTTGCAAGATCCAAAAGGTGCTCCCTCCTGCAAAAATTGTAGGAACTATGTAAATTGTCTTTGCTATAATTTTTTATCATCAAAATGCACATCAAGAAACTGTACTGTGATAGAAATTCATCCACATTAAGAATTCCACCATGTCCTTTGATACAACACCAACTTATCATACACACAAATGCTATTCCTAAACCTAGTTTTTAGGTGAGGACCTGACATCATTGGGAAAGAAAGTAGGCATGGAGAAGTGTATTTCTCTTTTAATTTTGACAAAAAAGGTGTAGGGGTTTGACAAAAAATTGATGCAAAAAATAATAAAACTATCACAAACTCCCAAGAGCTAATAAGAAATTTTGAGGATACAGTCAAAGTCAAGCATAACCTGATTATACATTTTTTACTTTTTGCTACTTTCAAAGATAACTAAACCTTTCTTTCCCCATCTCAAGTTAAGATCTATTATCTCTTGTAATATGGTTACTTTCAAGAAATAATAACACTAACACGCTTAATTTACATATAGGTATGTTTTAAATTTGATGACTGACCAACTGTTTGCTTCAAATTCAAAAAGACAATCTGAATCAAATTGATTTTAATGTCAGACAGATACACGGTCAGGCTCAGGCTTGAAAGAATATCATCTGAAGGTCTAATATTTCTTGTTCATGTCTACAATCAATTCTGAATAAACATCTGTTTAACTAGAAATTATATTAAATTAGGTTTCCAGTAATTATGAGAATAGAAGACATATGAAATAAGAAATTATCAGAATAAAGAAGAAAGTTCACAAACAAATGTTATCAAGGCAATACATATCCGGATTCTGGACACGAAATGCAAGCAAACCTGGCAAGCAGAGATTGTAGTACAGCCACACAATGAGTGGCCATTCATTTTATCAACGATATCAAAAACACCACCACCATCACTCCTCTGCATGAAATTTCATTTAGAATTATAAAATGGATAATGAGGTATTTTCTGTATTATTGAATTGGAATTAACAACCCAGAAGAATAAGGAATACCATGTAAAAGTTAACTGCTATAAAGTTAGGCAGCACATTTCCTGAAGCTTTGTAACATGTGTTCACCATATCAGCAAGAGGAGCTGAATGGTCTTTGCACGAGTCAGCTTCAACTGGATATGTTGGAAAGTAATTCTGCAAGAAAAGTGATGCACTTCTAGAATTTAGCGGCTTTGATTCTTTTCTATGCGGGCAAGAACCCCCTTGAACTCCAGAATCTCCAGCTGCAGGTTGGTGAAAATTATGAGGTTTTTCATTTGACACCATGTAAAATAGAGATATCCATATTATAATGACACTGCACTTACACTCATTTTCAACCATGTAAGTCCACTGATAAGCTATTCCTTCTTCAGCTTCCTTCGAAGCATCCGAAGTGAAAACAAGAAGCCGGTGATTAGCTTGAACCATCTCTGTCACAGTGGGCCAATCTTCACCCTTTTTGGGCATATCAGACGGTGGGAACCAATATTTATCCAGTCCAGCATTTATGAATAGATTACTCAACCCCTTTGGAGTACGCACATAGTCCTCAATTACAATGGTGACAATCTCCGTTGGATTTTGAGTCAAGAATGCCTCCACTTCTCTCAATGTATTTATTGCAGGTTGCTGAGAACATTTTCAGCATGACACATTAGACAACACCCCACAAAAGCAAATTTAGATTGTAAAAAGAATAACAAAGAGGGGGGTTTCAGTTAGATTACAAAGGCAGTGAAGTTGAAGCATTGCCCTCGAAACGAATGACAGAGCCAGATATCATTCTCAAAGTCGTACATATCCAACATCAATCCTCTCACTCCATTCTAAACAACATCCATCAAACACATAAATGTATAAGAATCACCAAAGAAACAAAAACAAGTAAACTATAGATACATAACTCATAAGTGAATCTAAAATCACACATTTAAATCCCTTCATCCTGAAGCCATGTATAAGAATTAAGAATCACTAGAGAAATAAGTAAACTATAAATATAAAAATTAAAAGCAGTCAGGTCCCTTCATCCTGAAGCTGAACTAGAATAGAATACAGAAAATGCAAAACGAAGAAGAAAACGATGGGGTGTTTGGTTTGCCCAAGGAATCTCAATAAGAGGAGAAGAAGAAAGCACAAGAACACATACCCTCAACTGGTTAGTAACAGTGTCTTCTTGATTGTAAAAGGTGAGTCTCTGAACGCCGGCTAAAGGTGGCGCATCCACGATGCTGAATGAATTATGGGTCATGATCCACGAGTACTTGTTGAAGGGCAAACCATTCACCTGCATGTCCCAAAAACAGTTAAAACATAAAACAGTTATTTTTCATATAATTGTTATGAGATATGTGTTATGTTGGAGGTTACGAGAGATGTAACGGTGGTGGCTTGGCCTCTGGTGCAAACGGGCCGAGTCCGGCCCAAAGCAGGGCAATTGCCGCAATAGAGGCCTGGCCCACAATCGGTGGCAGCTGAACATGCTTCCAGAACCTGCGAATTCTCGTCTAGTTTTCAGCTGAATCTTAAACCAGTTTGCATGGATCACAAGTGAGTGTGTTGTGTGTGAAGGGTGAAAAAGAAAAGGAAGTGAACCTGGCAATTCCCGTTAAAGCAAGCGGCGGAAGAGGTGAAGAGGAGGGAGAAGAAGAGTGAAGCAAAGATGGTGAAGGCTCTGCATTTGGTGCGAGAGCACATGGCACCACCGAACCAGAGAGAGAGAGAGAGAGAGAGAGGAAAGTTGAAAGGAAAAGAAAGAGATTTTACTGTGGAAGAGAGAGGTTGATGAAAGTATTGGGTTTGTCACCTTTAGTTTTTCTCTTATTTTGAGGCAATTACATTACTTGACGTTTATGTGTGCCATGTAATGCACTTTATATTTTATTATTGTAAATGTAGAGATACTGTTTATTTAGGACATGGGCTAGGGTCGACACTAAAAATAAGCACTAACATCTTCAAATGTAATGTATTTGTCATCTGTTGAGAGTTATTTTCTAGCCCCCACCCACTTTTCCAAGCTACTTGTTCTACGTCCTCCACTCTCTTTCTTTTTCATCTTCCTCTGCCTTGGATCTCTTTATGCTTTTCACGTGGTGGGGTATGTTGCTTCTGCCCGGAAATTACTGCTGCAACCTGTAGGCACCGTTTTATGATAGGCAACAAACCATGCAATTTTATGTCCATATTCATACGTCATATGTTAAGGCAAAGCCTCAACCAAATATCAAAACTTGCTAATCAAGCTGTTTAACATCAAAAGTCTTTGGATCGACCTTGGTGCTATACGAGACTCCGTGCTCACCATAATGCCTTGATATTATATGCACCACAGAGCGATCTCTGGACTAAGCTAACTATTTTTTAACGGGAGTTTTTGCATTCAAGAAAGGATCTCAATGGTTTGGATAAATTTTATGTTCAATTATAATCAACAAGTAAATAATAATAATAATTATTATTATTATTTCATTATGATTAGGTAGAATTTTATTAATAAAAAATAGAATTCATTCACTAGTCATTTTTATGTGAATAAATATTTAACAAAATTAGTTTCTAATATATTCATAAACTATTTTTAACTTATTTCAATAAATTCTCTAAAGTAATTTATAATGCTAACAACGTATATGAAACAAATTAATTATATTTCTAAATTAATTAATTTTAAAAACAAATTATGCTTAAACATCTACACGATAGACATTAATTTAATAAGTGCTTAATTAAATAATTTATTCAAAAAATCCTATATTTATTACAACATTCACCTTTCGGTTTTTAATCACAACAAAATCAACTTTAGGTTAAAAATATGATACGTGCATGTTATGCCCATGAAACTTCACGGTTCAAAATATTATTTCCTGCACTGGAAATTAACAAGTACACGATGGCACCATTTTAAATCAATATTGATTCTACACCAATTAAAAAAATAAACAAAATAGCTCTCAACAATCATTCAGTATAAAAATAAATCACACTTATTACGCTTGTACAATTTTTCATTTGCCTAAGCCATTTTACAATCTAAAAAATACGTTGGTAATGTATGATATTTATTTAAAATATTTCTTTTGCAAAAGCATTTATGCTTAATAGCATTAGAAATCAATATAACTAGTAAAATCTACACACTAATTTGTTCATTTCAATGACAAAATCAATCAAATGATATTTGTAAGAATAGTAAGCGATATGCGTGAGCTCAATTTGATTAGCATTTGCCCATTTCCCTCCGGGAAAAAATTGCATAGAATTTTGATTAAGCCTATAATTTCCGTTTGGAATGGCGAATAGTCAGTTAATAACAAAATGAATTGTTTAATTGTAGTTAGTTACCTATGCAGCAACAATTGCATGGCCTAGCTACAAACAAAAAGCTCAAAAAAACACTTCTTTCCGCTACCAATGAGATTGCTTCGCCTACGTGTGAAAGAATAAGTAAAAGAATTGATTTTTGATTTTTGAGCAAGTTCCATTAAGCAAGCTTCTTTGCACGACCACTTGAAGGAGCCCCGTCCTCTTTTTTTGATCCAGACGCCTCTGGCTTCCGAGCCCAGGCAGGGGCCCTGTCGGGCTCGTAACGATAATCATAGAACAGTTCCTCCCCGGCACAAATCCGCTCCTTCGCAAAAATGCCTACCCTATGATCTCCAGCAACCATAATAACCTGCCAGTTTAACCATATAGAGATTGTCAAGTAGGAATACTCATGCATTGTGAAATAGAGCTCCAATAATTGAATACTACCTTTGCATAGCAATTTGGATCAGGAGAATGGTTCGCAAACTTCAATTTATCACCCTTTCGATAAGCATCAAGAACAAACTGCATACAACATTCTCGTGGTTCATTCTATGTTTGATACACGCGTATATGTAACATTAAGAACTTATCTCCCACAAAAAATACGTAGTAGTGAAAGCTTGCCTGGTCGTTCAAATTAAAGAGAAAAGATGAATTTTCACGGTCATATATCTTTCCTCGCTTATCTGCTTCCCGATGTGAAATCAACTCTCCAGTATACTCTCCAAGGTATTCATGTTTACCAACACTATTCTGGAGGGCCAACAGATTGCATTAGGAAAACGAAAGAACCACACCTAACCATATAGGACTATTTATTGATGAATACCTTTAAGAAGGCTCCCCAGCCTGATACATCCGACCTTCCAAGAAGAACCTGTAAGTATATTAAATGTTAGTTACCATCATTGCAATTTGCAAATATAACAGTAAAGAAAATTATCTTATAGGAATACCATTAGCGACACAAAAGAACAGACAGAATATTGAGAATGAAGTTTGCAGTATGGTATAGACCAAAGTCCATGCAAAATACATCTCCATGAGGAGGATTATGTCTACAGGGAGTTTCATTCTATGCGTGATTCCATCCACTTCTCTCAATCATAATAGGTCTGTTTATTCGAACTTATCTAAAAAAAACATTTTTTTAATAAAATAAGCAGTTTTCTATTTTTTTTAAGAACTGTTATCTGCTTAAAAAATTACTTTTTAAACAAACTGGACAATAAATATCTCACTGTTATTTTAATAGAATAATACATTTGCTGGAAAAGAACCAAACAAATCTTAATACGTGTGTAAGATTTCAAATGAGAGGTACGACATTAAATGGAAGTTAAAGAAATTTACCCTTTGCTGCTGTTTGAGAAGAAGCTTCATGTTTCTACATTCATAATTGTCCCCTCTTTGGCTAGGAATCCCAAGAGTACCATCACCACAACTGCAACAATAAATTGACCCAAATAGCAAAATGTAACATGGCAAACAGAGTTGAGATATACTGGTAGTATAGTCAACACAAGATGAATAATACATTATAAATTTATAAGCACTTAAGAAGAAAGAAAGGCAGAGAGAAGTCCTGCATACAGACATTTGGCTGAACATTGGCTTTCAAAACAATCAATTCAGCGGGTCAAATAATGACTGAGTCTACAATGATGAGGCAGGCCAGCCCAATTAATCTTGAATATACACATAAAATTACTCTTCTCAAGGATCCACAGAAAAGCAATTAAAAAATAGTGTGTGTGTGTGTGTATGCAAGGATACAAGCACAGAATCGAAGCACAGAATCGACTCTTTCATTACCATAAACAATCAAAAGCACATATCATATTCATATTAGCTCCCATCCCAATCATCTCTACACACTCAATCAGCACCAATCATTTCTTAACAAGAAAATCGTTGGCCCAAAGTATGATTTTTTCCATTATTGCACATCAAGATTGTGCGTTTGGCAATACTAACTCAGTAATCACCTCTCCTTATTTTATTTTTTTTTCATCCCTTAAGTCAACAATTGCATGTCTGTAAAATAATTATTTCCAATGAATATAAGAAATCACACCATCCATCCCATATGTGAAAAATAAATTATTACCAATGCTACATATAACCATAATTAAATCTCACCTGACCCAACAATTCCTACAAACATCTGGATCACATTCCCTATCTGCAGCAAAGCATGGACATTGACGACTTCGGCATTGACTCTTAGCACAATGACAGCCACGAAATCGATTCTTGCAGCTCTTGGGGCATCTTGATATGAAAAGGGAGAAAAAAGTCATCACAGGAATTAAGGGTCGTTGGATGGTCATGCTGGCAAGTAAGCATGTCACGATAACATAACCATGTAAACTACAAGTACAATAAACCGGCAATGAATGCAGAAAATCAACACAACACTACAATTGTAGAGGGTGCCTCCCTTTGATTAAGAATCTTTTAGCCAAGTCAGAAACTTACCCACAGTACTTCTCACAGCAGGTTCCATTTTGAAGGCAAGGACACTGCTTTCCACAAGCTGATTGGCAGCCACATGGATTATACTGCCGACAGGGTTGATCCTTTCTCTCTGTAATCCTTTTCCTAATTGAATGGTAAGCAGCAGATTTCCAGGTGTACTTCAATCGACGGACTCTTCCTCTTCTACGTAAAAATCTAGACCTTCGTCTCACTTCGTTATTACCCTTATATACATTTTTACCAAAATTGACATGGTCAAGCACTATTTATAAGAAAGAAGAAAGCAAAAAGTGCACCAAGCATAGTTGCATTAAATCAACCTTAGAATAGCCTTCCAAGAGACAATTTGCAGCATCCCCAGGAGGACCAGACATCTTTCCTTCTTCACAATTTATGTATTGGAAAACATCCCAGCATGTCTTTAAACCATTTAAGAGATTCCTAGCTATTAAGCAACTGCAGTAAAAATCCAAAGTTATCATTTATTAGGTGATTGACAATCATAAAGAGAAAATTTATGCCTAAATATATTGTGGAAATCACTCTACAAGCCCATCATAGTTAAAAGAAGAGGCAAATTCACACAAAAACAAGCATCAAACAAGACAGGAATGGGCAAAGTGAGACATTTGAAACAACATGCAATAAAATTAAGGTTGACCCAAACCATGTGGACAATCTTTAATTTACCCTACAATTATAATTCATTAAATCAGACATTTGAGCTATAGCATTGACACCTTGTATATTCTATAAACATTTTTGTCATACCAACAAATTAGCTTGCGTGCCACATCCAGTTTTCACTTCTTTTTATCTTCCTAGTTTAAATAACATGTGCTAACCATTCAATGTATCATTAACTTCGACTACAACACTAGGGTATTCTAAATACCAGTTTCATGCACTAATAAGAAACCAATCAATTCAGAATAGTGGCAATACTAATTTTAGGTTCTACTAAAACTTTGATTTCATAGTTCATTGGAAGGCTCTAGGTGCTTGAACCATACTAAAGTCTCTTTGAGCATAATACCACCAACATATTGAGAAATGGAGATAGATTTTCAAATT